TAACAACAATCTGCTTTTAGGAATAAAGCTATATTTAGAAAAAAATTGAGACTTTTCTCCTTCCTATTCCAAAAAGGAGACGGTACTCAATTCGACTGTATGTTTTTTTATGTGTGTTACCTCATAAGTTTGTACTGGGTGAACCGTTTTCGATGATTCTTTTTTTATATGAAAGCTGATACTTCTCGTGTGGTCCCATATGAATTTGATCAAGGTCAGACCAATAGTTTTTGAGTTATTCTTAAATAACTTATATTGAAGTCGGCTGTACAAAATTTTTAATTTTAAATTATTTGAACTCTCTATTTGTAAGATTTAACTGGATTACAAAAAAAAGAGCGCAGGTTTACAATTTGCCTGTTTTTTTTTTCTATGTATTATACGCGATATCTTCGTCAATTGAAAAACGATTTTAATGATTTTCTTATTAAATAGGAGATACTCCAGGGGTAGTTTTTACAAAAGGGATAAAGTTTTTAATGTAACCATTTAGAAAACATTGAACTGTGATATTTCTTAATCCACTCAGAGGTGTTAAGAATATAAATTTTAACAAAATGCGAAAGCCAAAATAATGATATAATTTCACATTCTGAATTCTTCTACACTACGTATATCTTAGACCGAAAGTTAATTTTTTGTGATCTTTAGATATTAGAATTTAAAACCTTGTAAAAAATTTGTACGTGGTAGAGCCATGCTGCAGCTATATTAATAGTATAGTTGTAGCACGAATGTGTCGGCTCAACCGGGGAGGGACCACGCTCTCATAGAATACCAGCGTAAAATAGCAGCATAATGCTGCTGTGTTTCGTATGGTGAGTGTAGAGAATCGGAGACCCATTTTACTGGAAAAGAGGCATTCTATCTTAGTCCTCACGGGTGACAAAGCATCTGCATTTTAATTCGCAAACGAAGATAGATGTAGATGTCTATGGGTCACAGCAACCACTTACCATCAGGTGGACTGTGTGCTCGTTTGTCACCCTTATTCTATAAAAATAAACAATTATTAATACTAGAAAGACTATTTCGCACACATTTTTTTAATCTGCATTTGCAGAAACTGTTAAATGGATGTTAGTAAAACTTAATTATTTAGAACTAGCGATCCAGGCTGGCTTCGCACGGGTGATTTCTAGATCTCGACAACAACTCTACGTACATGGTCCAATTGTGAATCTAAACCATCCAGGGACCCCCTCCAAGACACACAAAATATTCCATCAGAATCGGACGAGCCAGGTTCGAGTTACAGCGAAACTAACGGACAGCAATTGATTTTTATAATGTAGAATAGATTACGCTTCAAAGGAAATTGGTTTAGTGTCGATAATTTAACTTTATTGTCTAAATGTTTGACATGACAAATTTTAACGAACATAAGTAAGTAAGCACACAACTTGTAAAACAGTAAAATAGACTTCCAAGGACCACAAAACTGAGATTGTGTATCTTGAAATTTGTAAACTTACAAAAGTTTAACTTCAACCAATTAAAGAAACGGAAAATAATTCAGAGTCCACAACTCAATATATATAGGCCTTCCCCATAGATTGCTTAATAGGGGTGATATTTACCATAGTTGCTACGTTTAATTTTTTTTATTTTTAGTGGTTATTAGACGCTGCTGGCCATATGCTGGTTTGTTTCCCTCTGTCACCTCTTAGGACATTCACGGGTCGCTAAAGGATATTGGATATTCTTACAGCGCCACTACAAGTTGATATGGTATACGTATAATTATAAATAAAATAAAATCTTTAATACTATAAACATAAATTAAGACCGTGTGAACTGTACAATCACTTCAAGATGTAAAGCTTCAATTAAACAACGTAAATTATCAGTCGCATCTGAAGCACTCAGATTGAGATCAAAAATTAATAATTTCGTAATTACGCGCACATTAAATTCACATTAAACAAAAATATATGTGTTATTATTATTTAAATCTGTGCTAGGAACAATGGCGGATGGGTATAAACTTGTGATAATTATCTGAGGTCAACCCCAGCGGTGCGGAACGGTATGCGCCGGGGAAGACGTCTGTTATTATCATGTGAAGAGTTTTTGAAGACATTCCCACACACGGCCCCTGATTTCCCGATTAACTCTGATTCATAAGTAGTTAATTACACTCAAGCCATGTTTTTTTAAATTAATTAATAGAGATTTCAGTCGATTTCTTTGCTCGGTAGTCGGTGTCGTGGGAATTTTTGATGAATTAGTTGTTTTGAATGTCAATTTAATTCATAGCAGAGGTTAATTGTTTGATGGTGATATAATGAAAAATATTACTTTGAATTGTTTGTAAGTTAGTTTAAAATTTCAAAATTTGTACCGAATAGACACACAAACAAACAGATCCAGGTCTGAGTTTTTTAAAATCTTTAACTCATCGGGAAGTTAGTTTAAAATCGTTACGTGGTAGAGCTATGCTGTAGCTATATTATGGTTATAGCACGAATGGTCCGGCCTAGGCTAGACCAGGGTAGGATCACGTTCGTATGGTGAGTGTAGAGAACCGGAGACCCTTTTTACTGGAAACGAGGCTTTCCATCTTAGTCATCAGGGGTGGCAACGCATTTACATTTTGATTCTTATTCGAGGATAGATGTAGATGTCTAAGAGGCACAGCATCCATTTATCGTCAGGCGGACTGTATCCTACTTTGTCAGCCTTATTCTATATTCAAAAAAAAATATTGCGGATTTTGTACCGAAAAGACAAACAAAAGAAAGCTAGTTAAAAAAAAAAGGCGGTAAAAACTTAAAAACTACCAAATGTGTTTTAAGCACATTAGGTAGTTCTTTATACATATTGTATAAAATAAGCTGGGGCCAGATGATTGAATAAAAAATAATTTTGCAGTTCAAATTCATTTTTATTAAAATATTCATGTTTAAAACGACTGCGTAAAGTTGACTATTCATTATTACCTTAAACAGTCACATAAACAACATTTTATCATGCAGTCAACTCTTAAATATGACAATCTCCAAATATACGAATACCAAATGTAAACTGATAAAAATGCAGAGTAAAGACTTTTTCCTTTTGTAAAAAAAAAAATTAAAAATCTTGTTACACTTTATATAAATTGACGGCGTATTCGTTCTGACACGTTTAATACTATATGCTTGTAATACTGTAACTAACAATACCAATTCCGTAAAGTTGTCTCATAATTCCATGTTTTCATACCAGAGATATAAAAATATTGATAAATTTTTGTACTTATTATTTCATTTCCGTATGGAATGTTCAAAATCACACTCTTCGTTATAAATAATACACACCAAATCGGTTTACCAAATTATAAAATATCTAAGATCGCATTAAATAAATAGAAGTTTCAATCGAAAGATTTTCTCTAAAATATAACAAATGTACTATGGACTAAAAACTAGCTACATCTAATTGTTCATTAAAATCTCGGTAAATATACATACGTACAGAAAGACGACAGTATTGCGTGCCCTAAGTAATAAAATCTACTAAGAATGTGAAGCGGTTGGGCGGCTCAGTATATATAAACATTTAATACTAGTCACCCAATTAAAAGAACACACACACTGAAATCTAACCAAGTGATGACACAACGTATGCAAGTAAAACATATTATTTGGTTTCGTCTTCTCATTGAGATGACTATCAAATCCAGTAACACTTGGATGCCTTAATTAAATACATAGAAACTTAATGACGAAAGCTTCAAATAAACGCGTTTATGTAATCTCGAGACGTTACCTCAACCAACTTACATTTTACGTGACACTATATGAAATCGCTGTGCAAGCGATGACTTGTCATGGACATTACAGCTATTTGGCCCCGAAGAAACGAATCTTAGAGCAGATAGATCTCGTTCTTTTGGATGAATTCTCGAACTTCGGCGTTCAAACGCCTCATTAGGAACTACTGCTCTATACAGACTACACATGTCTGCGCATCAGGTAAAAATATTCCAAAACATTACATAACACACACACAAAAAGTATCTAAATCCATACAAAATCATTAATCATTCATACATTTAAAAAAATTATATAATTCTATACATGTATGAGCAACTTTTCTATATACGTGAGATATAGGTAGGATGTTCAATTTATAATTGGACGTAGTTATGCAAGAAGGATCCAACCCGCGATAAGTTAATTTGAGTTTATGATATTTGAAATATCCGTACATCAAATATCATAAACTCTAATTATCGGTATGGTTTCTGTCTGTTTGTAATTTTTCTTCTTATTTGTGTTACTTTTGCTAAAATTGTTACATCACATAATAGTATAGACCACAAACATTATTTTTCAAGTCAACATTTTTGACACAAACTCGGGTTGGATCCTTTTTGCATAAACACGTCCAATTAATAATAAACCATAATGTGAAAGTTATTATGAATAGGTATAATAACCAAACATTAACATCGCATTCATAACGTACAAAACGATATTATTGCTGTTGTCTAAAGTTAATTATCTTAGTATAGCATTTTGGTGTCGTAATCTCGTGGAAAAAAAAAACTAATTTTAACATTAATGTTAGGCACAGACTGTCGTAATTTCACGAGACCATTCGCTTTGCGAATGTTCTAGACTTAAATCGGCAAAGCAATTGACTCGCGCCGTGGCACTTCCTTATTATATAGCTTTCTATAATCTACTCATCGTAATATATTCCTGAAATTTCAAAACAACTCTTTAACTAAATTATTTTTTCAAATGCGTGAATGAACTCGAAATATTACAAAAATATTTTTTTTTTCGAAAACTTAAGATTTTATCAGAAGTATATTACGATAGGCGTGTAGGCACTATTGAAACTATTATACAAAGTACGTCCTCGCACTCACCGATCGCTTCAGACACTTGGTCGTTCTGTTCGCCAATTATTCACAAAACTCTTTGGATAGTCTGTCTTTACAGAATTGTGCAGTTTAACACAAGTCGTTTTTACTGCAGACTGTCGTCCAGCCTGCAGTCGATTGGCTATTGCAGGCTGTTGTCTGGCAGACGATGTGCGTTGTCTGGCAATCGGTGCGCGTTGTCTGGCAGGCGGTGGCTGTTGATGGCGTCGTGGTGCCAGGCTGCGGCCTGCTCTGGCCGCATCACGTCGTCCACGGGTGGGCACACGGGCCTGGGACCAGGCTCCGGTGTGTAAGTAAACGTCAGTCCCGTTGCGTATATTATACCGTCGTTTCTCACAAGGGACACTGGTACCTGGAATGGGGGACGTTTTGAGTTAAGATTACTTCGAAGTTACAATAAATACGTTGTAAATAAATACGTATGTTGTACGCATTCAATAACCCACATCATCTCATGGATGTGGTAAGAAGCGACAGAGAGAAACGGAACAGGAGATGAGCAGAAGGAGCATCTTCCTGATACAACACATATAGTAATAAAGCGTCAGTAGCCTAATGGCAGGACACGGACCGCGAACTCGAAAGGTCGTGGGTTCGAATCTGCCATGCGACTACTGTCGTGAACCACTTCTAACACAAGCATTTTAAGCTTACCAGAAGTGGTTAAAGGGAATATTAGTAATGTCTAATAGCATTACTAGTATTTATTATTAAATAAAAAACTGCGATTACTAACCCGATTGTTAAGTGTGCAAACTATGGCAAATATCCCCCCTATATGAGGATACATCCATCCTATATGAGGTAGTTTAACTAATAATCCCTTTATTCTGCAGTGACTTTGATAGTCTGATAGATGGATGTTGTTAGTTGGACTGACTATACAATTAAATATATAGCTATTATTTATCTAATTACGTATAAAGTCACCTAGCAATACTTTTCTCTGATAATATGTTTCGATGTTTCTAGCTCCACTCGCTATTTTCTAGCATCTTTTTTTTTCTTTTTTTCTTTTTTAGATAAATTCACATAGTCACTGTTAATAAACTTTAAAACACATGTCCACGCCGTAAGCATCGTACCAGCCGAATTTTAAGGATTATTTATTTTAATAATACGAGGGCTGCACTAAAAGTATCGAGAATGGAAAATTTCCACTGTTCCTGTCATATAATTTTTTTTTTATTGAAAAGTCCTTGGTTTTAAAAATCGAATACCATTTATTTATTTAAAAAAAGATTCTCGGTCTTGTCACAAGGTTTTGTCAAACTTGTTTAGTCGTTGAGAAAATGGAATTACTCGAGAAAATTCAAGAGCGATGATTTATTATGACATTCGAAGTGGTTTAACACAAAAACAGTGTGTTGACCGGATGATTTCTGCATTAGGTGATGAAGCCCCATCCAAAACCACAATTTATCGCTGGTTTGCTGAATTTCAACGTGGACGTGTCAAGATCAGTGATGATCCCCGTCAAGGTCGTCCAAAAACTGCAGTCACCCAAGAAAACGTTGATGCTGTGCGTAAGCTGATTGAGGAAGATCGACATGTGACATACCGCGAAATTCAGGCAACTTTAGACATTGGCATAAGTCAAATACAAATAATCTTGCACGAACAATTAGGTGTAAAAAAGTTGTTATCCCGATGGATACAGCATTCGCTCTGTGAAGAGCAAAAAGCGGCTCGCGTTACTTGGTGCGTCAGAACTCTCGAAAGATTCCACGCAGGATCCTCAAATGCTGTATACAACATCGTATCAGGTGACGAATCCTGGATATACGCGTACGAACCCGAAACAAAAAACCAGTCACGAGTTTGGGTGTTCGAAAATGAGTTAAAGCCAACAAAAATTGTTCGTTCACGGAGTGTTGCAAAAAAAATGGTGGCCACGTTCCAAAACCGGCCATGTTACGATTATTCCTCTTGAGGGACAAAGAACGATTAATGCAGAATGGTATGCTAGCATTTGTTTGCCACAGGTCGTTTCTGAACTCCGTAAAGAGAACTGCAACCGCCGCATCATCCTCCATCACGACAATGCGAGTTCTCACACCGCACATAGAACAAAAGAGTTTTTAGAGCAAGAAAACATAGAATTATTAGACCATCCGCCGTACAGCCCCGACCTAAGCCTTAATGATTTCTATACTTTCCCTAAAATAAAGAATAAATTGCGTGGACAGAGATTTTCATCACCTGAAGAAGTTGTGGACGCCTACAAAACGGCCATTTTGGAGACCCCAACTTCCGAATGGAATGGTTGCTTCAATGATTGGTTCCATCGCGAAATTTGACACATATGGAAAATGTGTCAAATTTCGCGGAGAATACTTCGAAAATCAATAAATACATTTTTAAATAGTAATGTTGTGTCACTTCCTTGATTCCCGAAATTTTCAGTGCCGCCCTCGTAGGTACTTACATTTTAAAACGTTAGTAACAGGAGTATCGTCTTAGTTGCCAGTTTTTATTTCTAACGCGAAACAGATTGTTTTAATAATGTAAAATGAATACGTTATGTACAGGTGGTAAGGTATCTGAATCCTTATACATTGAAAACAAAAATAAACTAAATAACAAAATCTTTTCAATTAATTTCATACATTTGAGTTTACAAAATATCGTAATCGAATACATGATAGATGGTGGAAAAATAACTTTAATATGAGAGTAGCCGCGTGGTGGTGGCGAAGAGAATCCATCTCCCTTTCATTTCATGAGTGTTGTAAGAGGAGACTATGGTGGTAGCCATAAAAATATTGGCTTCCGACAGATGACGGCAAATTGACCAATTCCCATTCGCTGTTAATATAATGTAAGACCACACGAATAAATAGTATTGGCTACAATACAAATGAGTCTACTCGAGCGGGGATAGACCACACTCACAGAATACCAGCATAAAATAGAAGCATAATGCTGTGTTGTTTCATGTTGTTGACGATAACCGGAAACATTTTTAATCTCCAATTTCATATTGGGCCTTAGGGGTGACGACACGTCTGCATTTTGTCTCTTCCACCTGCCATTAAGTAGACTATGTGCTCGAGTGTAACCCTTATGATAAAATAGTAATTTATTCCTCATTAACACTTATAAAACATTACTTCCTTTACATTTCCTTGCTTTTAAAAATAAACAGTAATTTTTTATTTCGATTGCCACCATTACTTTAAAAAAAATACATAATCGACAATATAGTATAAGGTCGGAGAAAAAGTTTCTTCGTATTTTATATAATACATATTATTATAGATAACTTGTTGCCATCTTGTAGGTAGTGACATAATACCGTTGCTGTAGAAATCTTGGGATTTTTGATTAAAAAAAATGCGACAAGGACTATATGATGGATGTATTCCAACACTTCCCAACCAAGCTCTCTCAATTTTTGCTGAGTGGCCAAAGATGTGTGTGGTCCTGGCGTTATCATGATGTTGCGTATCTTTTCTGTTGATCAATTCCGGCCGCTTTTTCTCAATTTCTTGCTTGAGTCTCATTGCTTGTTGACAGTAGAGATCCGAATCTATTGTTTTGCCCGGCGGTAAAACTCATAATAAACGATGCCCTTCCAATCCCACCATACACAGCATCACCGTATTGCGTGCAACCGGGTTTCGCTAGTCTGTGGAGCTTGACTACCCTTTGACCATGATTTCTTGTTCTTGTCGTAGGTGATCCACTTTTCATCATTGAATTGATCAATCTTTTCAAAAATGGTTCGGTTTCATTACGTTTCAATAGAGAATCGCAAATGAGTACTCGATTCATTAGGTTTCTTTCAGTGAGCTCGTGCGGTACCCAAATATCGAGATTTTTTGTATAGCCAGACTTTTTCAAATGGGTCAAAACTGTTTTGTGGTCAATTCTCAATTCCTCGGCTACGTTGTAACTACTAATACGCCGATCTTGCTCCACTTTTTCAAAAATGGCATCGATTTTATCTATATATTATGTTTTTATTTTAAGTGACAAAAAAGAACTTCTATAAAAATACATTATAAGCAGTATAATGTATTTTTATAGAACTTTTTTTTTGTATAGAATATACACCTATAAATTAGAGTATAATAATAATAGATTACATAAGTGTCGTCACCTCTGAAAACTAAGGTGGGATGCTTCACAGCCTGTAATTACCAGCACACAACAGTGCAGGCAGCTGCCAGCGCTGCTGCCAGCAGAAAGAGGTGAGAGAGAACCCATCCGGACGGATTTCTAAGCCCAAAAATTAGTCATACCACTTAGTATTTGCATTAGGGTTGCCATAATATATAGTATCGTACTATATTTCAGTCAATTATTACTGTACTATAGATTATTATAGAAAATTAATATAGTACGAAAAATACTATATTTTATCCCTAATTCAACTGACGCACTTTGTATTAACTTTTGTATCAACTGTGACTGGAAGTCTGGAACAAGTAAGTTTTACGGAAAGATATTTTTTTCCGTCAAGAATGTAAAATGGAAAGAAGAAAGAAATAGAGCATATGTATTTATTTTATCAAAAATACATTGTTAATTTATTTTAATATGAATCTAAACTGCTCAGATTCCTATAATTATTTTAAAGGTAGAATTTTCAAGAAGAAAGGTAGATTTTAAGAAGAGTAACAACAAATATATATGGAAAAATACATAACGATTAAAATTATAAAGTATTTTTTCCTGGATTTCCCAAAAGTCCAAAAGATTTCCCCATATTTATGCATCTTTTTTCGAAAAATATTATATTTCTTAAAAAAAAAGTGGCAACCCTAATTAGCACGTACATATGCGGTGCTATTCTCCTGTACAGAGTTGACAGCGCTGAATTTTATCATAAATCGTCGTGGCGGCGGGCAAAACTTGTTAGGGGAATATCGTCATCATTATACTGTGTGATGGAGGAAATCCATTAGCTCATTTATTCCCCTAAGAGCCATGATGACAATGAGATATGCCATTTCATGGCATTGGAGAGATATTAATATAATCATTTCGTTCGTCCCAGCAACTGGGCGGCAAAAGTGCGTGGTGTTTGGTACTGTAATTGCCAAACTGCCAAGGTGTTACAGCAGATTACACAGCAACTACAACGGGAGAGCCCTATGACCAGTAGTGGACTTTAAAAATAAAAATAAATAAAAGAATAAAAAAGTTGAAAATATACCTGCGTCGGTTGTCGTACCCACAGCCACTGTCCTCTGAACTGCGATATATCTGGCACGACGCACAGCATCGACTCCGCGCACCGGTACATCGTCTCTGCCTCAACATCGCCGAACCACACTTGCAAAGATGGCGTGAAATTATCCCCGGCGAGCTCCAGCATCGCAACGTCTCCTCCACCATTCAGATTGAGAGAGTGGACCAATGGAACTGGCGTGACCGGTGACCTAATATGAAATATATAATATTACAATGACGGCGTGGTTTAATACATATTACTTCTACACTGACTGCCTCTTTGATCTAGTGGTTGTAAACACGACTACTGATCTGGAGAACCCGGGTTCGAATCCCGGGTCGGGCCAAAAATCACTTATTCGAGTTTTTCCATCAAAAAATTCTTAGTAGTTGCCCGGAGTCAGGAAGCTGGCGGTGTCTCACCCCCGTGGCTCGGAAAGCACGTAAAGCCGTTGGTCCTGCGCATGATCTCTCTCCGGTCGTGTCGGTTTACCGTCCCATCGGACTATGGGAGTGGGGGAATAGAGAATGCACCTGTGCTTGCGCATACACTTGGGCACTATATTCCTGTTCTGCGCAGATTAATTAATCAGGTTCTGTCAGACCTTGATCAAATTTATATGGAACCACACGATAAGCACCAGCTTTCAAATAAAAAAAAGAATCATCGAAATCAGTTCACCCAGAAAAAAGTTATGAGGTAACACTCATACAAAAAACACAGTCGAATAGAGTTGAGTACCTCCTTCTTTTTGAAGTCGGTAGAAAATGAGTTAAGTCAGAATGAGAGTTAGTTGTGACTGTAACTAACGAACATACTCCACATTAAGAATGCAAGTGATTACTGCAGTCTATGGACACCTGCCCATTTCAAATAAAAAAGTAACAGATGCATTGTAATCTCTGAGGTTAGTCCTCAGAGATTACAATGCATTTGTTACTTTTTGAATGATGGAATGCTTCGCAGCATGGGATTATACACAAACACTCACGCCTGTCACCCAGAGGGGTAGGCAGAGACTACGGACTTCCATTTGGCGCGATCCTGACACACCTCTCTCGCGTCCTTTACATTCATATATCTACGCATACACGCTCGTTGGTTAAGGGTACTCCTAATCTGGCCCATTTTCAATGTATCGCCGAATGTATTCCCGACCCTGCCGTTCACTTCTGCTACATAAATTTGCTTTGTCACTCTTTCCTCGTTCATTCTTTCTACATGACCAAACCGCCGAAGCATTCCTTTCTTAATCCTTGTCACAACGTCATCGTCAACGTGGTTTGCATGGGATTATAATAGTTCTCAATATCTTTCATGGCAATTGGCATTGCAAGGATTGCTATTTGGCTGCAGAAATAGGTAAGAGAGTGGTGCCTCCAGACGAAATCCTACGCAGAAAAGGAGTGCTTACCACCAGCAAAACCACAACTACTGCCTCCTTAAACGTACTTTATAATTTATATGTACTTGTTGAAAATGTATAGTTTTAGGCGAGATTAAAAACAATGACTACCGTTGAAGAAATTTTTGTGTTATTTATTCACGAAATTTTGATTGATAGTGTTGTAATATTTCTTAATCAGATTCTAATTTGTTTGTGGCAACCCGAACTGATTTAGCCACGCTCTATTCATGAAAAAACACAAGAAATTAACCGTGCGATACTTGATGTAGAAGTAATAGTAATAATGTCCTCCATACTGAATTTCGGCCACGGCGACCAGCCTCAACGGAGACTAGCCATCTGTGCAGAACAGGATTATAGTACCCAAGTGTATGCGCAAGCACAGGTGCATGTTCTAGTCCCTCTCTCTCATAGTCCGATGGGACGGTGAACCGACACGACCGGAGAGAGATTAGACGGCTTTAATTTTTTTTAATTTTATTAAAAAATATTCACCCGCGGATCACGGTTTCGTAGTATGAAAAATTTAATTTAGATACGCAACCAACCCGAGTTCATTCCCGCCGGCGTCAATGAAATTATTAATTGCAATTTTAAGTGCTGATTTACCACGAGCTCGGTGAATAAAGAAAACATGGTGAGGAAAGCAGCATAATATCTGATGAATAAAGCGGCGCGGCGGACTAATTGCTACATAAACCTCCCAAATGAGAGGAGGCCTTTGCTTAGTCGAACTTTACTTGAAGAATTTAGCCTCTGACTGACTAAACACTTGTTAAACGACTTTTTTTTTGAGGCGATACCGGTTGTTTAGGGTGTCAGAAGGTTTTTCGATGTTTCGTTTTTGTTTTCCCCCGTTCCGCCCCAAACACAGAAGTGAGGGGAGTGAATTATTGTCAAACGATTGGCGGGCTTATTTAGTCGTGATGGATCACTACACAGGACCCAAGCACGCATTTTGCGAGCGAGCAGTTTATAAAACAACTATTCTTATAATGTTTGTTCGAAGTCCAAGTCCGAATTTTAATGTAACTAGCATGAGATATATGCCAAGTGCGAATTTAATCAAGCATTAGGTGTGCAAGTTTGAAGAAATTGGAAACGCGTTATGGACGATCCACTACAGTGGCTACACTACAATGTGCGCAATCATAGTAACTACACTACGATTGCGCGCAGCTTCCTTAAATTTCAACAAATCCAGCGATGTATTGCGTTATTCGTAAAGATTTGCATTTTCACCTCAGACCAACGAAGGAAAATAGACGGAACGTACATTTCAAGTGATGCTGAAACCATGCTCAACTTCATGACGCGCACTCACGCACATATCTTTCTTCTTTCTCTCTTTATCAGCCCGTAAAATTTCACAGCTGGACGTACACTTATGCTCCTGGAATCGTTTTTTTTTAAATATATTTTATACAGGAACGAGTATACGGCTCACTTGTTGGTAAGTGACTACAGCCGCCCATGAACAACTGCAACACCAAGGGAATTGCAGATATGTTGCCGGCCTTTTAGAAAGCAGTAAGCTCTTTTCTTGAAGATCCCTAAGTCGTATCAGTCCGGAAAAATCGCCGGTGGTAAACTATTCCACAGGTCGTATAAGGACGAAAACTTCTGGTAAAACGTACAGTGGTGGACCGCCAAGCATCCAGGTGGTGTGGAAGATATCGGGAGTTTTGCCGCGATATGCGTTCGTGAAATTTGGCGGCAGGGATTAATCCCAACAATTCCTCAGAGCACTCCCCGTAGTAGATGTGAAAGAAAATGCAAAGGGATGCAACATCTCCTCGCAGCGCCAGTGAATCGAGCCGATCGGAAAGGACTCGGTCAAATGGAAGTAGCTGGCACTGAGTAGCCCCAGCCCAGAGATGGGAACAGTATTTCATGTGAGGCCGAACCTGCGCCTTATAAAATTACAGGCGGTTTGGCGGCATAAAATACTGTCTCGCTCTGCTGAGCACGCCAAGTGTTTTAGAAGCCAATTTGGCCTTCTCCTGCAAGTGACCACGAAACTGCACGTGACACGTCACTCGATAAGGTGACGCCGAGGATTCCGATACTGGCTGAGGCAACAAGGGGAGTGCCTAGAAACTGAGGAGATACAACAAAGGGGTTCTTTTTGTGGTAAACGCGCAAACTTGTCTTCTGGGGATTAAACTGAAATAGATTTAGTCGCCCCCAATCCGAGACTTTGTTCAGCTAAGACTCAACTTCAAAAACAAGTTTTTTCCGGTACTCGGCGAAGTTTTCCCGAGAAATATTGGCACGGCCGGTGTATAGAGCATCACCAGTGCTGTCATCCGCATAGCAATGAATGTTACCAGTTTGCAACATATCATTGATATACAGAAGAAACAGCGTTGGTGATAGCACGCAGCCTTGTGGAACACCGGCATTAATAGGCTTTTAATCGGAGCATGCACCGTCTACTACGACTTTGATGCTCCGATCTGCAAGAAAGCTGGTGATCCAATTGCACAATTTCTCAGGAAGCCCATAGGAAGGGAGCTTCAAAAGAAGCGTTTGGGGCAAACCAGACCGAAAGCTTTCGCAATGTCCAAACTAACGGCTAATGCCTTGGAGTCTACTGCCTCCGCCCATCTATGAGTCAGGTAGACCAGAAGATCACCAGCTGACGGTAACTAATCATCTCATACGTGTTCTTACTATAAGTTAAAGTTGAAATGAATGCAGCGCTCCATCTTTATTTCTTTATTGGATTGAGATTTGCCATACTTATCCTATACAAAAAAAGAAAAAAAAAGATTTTTTGTTGTACAAGACGTAAAGCTTGCTGATTCTGCTCACGAGTCGAATTTTGTAGGACAACGAAAAATCGTTATAGGACCTAAAATAACATATTATAGTCTACTACACTCGCCTAAGATTCTCGTTTGGGCTGCCATATCAAGTTAAGGAATTCTCTGCCCATACTTTTTTGAGGATAACCATTCCGATCGATATTGCCATATGATTCCGATCGATATTGCAAACTTTCATTTCTGGATACATTTTTGGATCCAGAAATGAAAGTTTTTTTTTATAGAATAAGGGTGACAAACGAGCACACATTCCACCTGATGGTAAGAGGATGCTGCGGCCCATTGACTTTATACATTTATCCCCAATTAAGAATCAAAATGTACATGTGTTGTCACCCTTGAGGACTAAGATGGAATGCCTCGTTTCCAGTAAAAAGGGTCTCCGGTTCTCATACGAAACACAGACAGCTATATTAGGCTAGTATTCTGTGAGAGCGTCGTGGCCCTTCCCCGGTCGAGCCAATCCATTCGTACTATAACCAGCTGCAGCGTGGCTCTACCACGTAATAAAACTTCCCGCGTTAAAAATGATTATTTGGCAGCTCTTCACGATTTATTTCATGAAAGAGTAATAAGTCGTCGAGGAGACATCAACTGGCAACTGGCGTCTTTTATTTTAAATGTCAAAAACGAATAAGAATCTAATACACCCAAGAAAGAAATTACCATCACTAGTACTGTTACAGATAATAATATAATGTTACCTATTATAAACCTATAAAAAGTTCACTGGTGGACACAGGCCTTCCCAATAGACTTCCTAATATTTGTCATAGTTTCCACATTTTGCAAGCGGGTTGGCACCCGAAATTTTTTATTTTAATTCAGGAAGATGATACTGCCCACCTCGTTGTTCAGTTTCCCTCTGCCGCCTTTTATGACACCTACGGGATGAAATGGTGTAGTGGATATTCTTACACCACCACTAAACAATATGTAATATAATGTTAAAAACGTTTTGTTTTACGTCTGATTAAGCTTCACGGTCATGGTCATGGTGTCATGAAGTTGTATTATTTATTAAACGGAACGGAAACCATATTACTATGTTACAGGAATTTATGATACCCGTCGTAGTACGGGATATATATTATTGTAAAAATCTCACAATCATCCATAGATAGTACAAATAATAAAGTCCTTCAACGAGCAGCAGTCTAATGTATGAGGTTTCCGGTACTGTGTTCGTCAGCCTAACAATTGCGACACTAAAGAAATTCCATCGCTTTATGCTTGACCGAGCTGTGTTGGATAATTCTATTCTCTTTGCCCTAATCACTTTTGCAGTCTTTTTTTTTAATAGAATAAGGGTGACAAACGAGTACTCAGCCCTGATGGTAAGTGGTTGCTGTGGCCCATAGACATCTACATGTATTCTCGATTATGAATCAAAATGCAAATGAGGATTTTTCATAAATGCAGTCAAATTGTTTAGTAATTATTACTGCTCCTTTCTTTGCGGTCTGGGTATTTTACTACTGTGCCACACGGCAATTAATCATTATCCTCATCATTACAGTCCTTCACAAGTCCAGTGCTGAACATAGGCTATTCGCCACGGACTTTTTTATAGATCCTCCCGTGAGCATTGGTGCAGCAAAGCTTTTGAAATGTCAGAAGTTAAAAATGAGTTAAATTAAGTATGATAAACTCTGTAAATGTAGTTTCATCCAATGTGCAGTGTCCGCATAAAGACATATTATATAAAATTAAATGTCCGTCTATAATATTGAAGTAACTGGCTTCTATTAAGCTCAGAGGGTTATATGCACAGATGTGCAAAATAGTTTATTAAAATCATTTCAATTCAAAATGGAAATGCTTGTTTATTTTTTTTTATTTCAAATCCAAATACAAAATGGTTTTCAATGAAATTATTTAAATACAAAAGTCAAAATATGTATTTTTAAAATAGATTTTTGTAATAAAAAACCTTCCACTAATTTTAACATTAGTATAATAAATATGTTTAGAGTTCATGTTACATGGTCTATCTGTGTGGCTTCATAATCATTCCACCGACCATAAATAGTAGAGTAGTTAAACAGGTGCAGAACTTGGAAAGCAAGTATTATATTTAAGGAAGAGTTTTTTTTACACTTGGGTATCTGTTCAAGGATTCTAAAGTATTGTGTTCACTTTAGAATATTGTAGTGTTTCGAGATCTATTGTAGTATTAGCATTATTACTGGCTGCTGTAGAATCAGTCCTCAACATAATATAATAGGATTCAGTCTTTTCCTTCTCTTTATTATAGTTAGTATGTTGAGAGGGTAATATAAATAAAAAATTTAACAAAACCATTTTGCATTTCACAAATCTATAATGTAAAAATGAATCGCTGAATGTGTTGCTAAGAGCAAATCTCGAGAGCAGCTGAACCGATTTCGTTAATTCTTCTTTTATAACATTCTTTGAAGTACGAAGATGGTTCTTACGGAGAGAAAAATTAAAAAAAAATTGTCTGAAAAGTCTAAAAACAACACTTTTCTATATTCCCATACAAAAGATTCGTAATAATACTTAAAAGTCAATTTGAACTTTAATACCATAACATAAAGTTTAAGTGTTAGTGGAGGGGTTCCGGGAAGGCAAAATAATTGAGTGACCTTAGTATGGTATAAATATTAATGTCAATATTTGTCAATATTTATACACACTGGCAGATAGCTGATATTATAAGGAGTAACTTGGGCTGCTTTTATTTTAGAGTTCCGTGAAAAATAACTCCATGGGGGCGAAGTAGCAGGAAACAGCTAGTACTAAATATTTATATAAAGTATTTCAAATGCAAAATAATAATAGTTATTTCACATTTTGTATTTGCATTTCAAATATAAATATTTCAAATTATTTACATCTCTGGTTATTTCCATAAATAAAGTATTTTTAAAATTTTGTCTATCTGTGCAAATTTTTTTTAATACCATAAATTGATAAAATAAATGGTCCTTTCACTACCTTAAATCTAAATACCGTCACATTAATATATCCTATCAGGAAAAAAATAGGGCAGGTCTTTAGTTTTATTATAATTTTAAGATTTTAATTATAATTTATTATAATTTAATTATAATTTAATTTTTTTTAATTTTAATTTTATTATAATTTATGTTTTATATATAAAAAAAAAATAGAATTACAGCCTATGTATACACAGATCACGCAAGTGGGCTGCACAGGTCTTTTCTGGGAGGATTACATATAAGTATGGAAATTGAGTAGCTATAATTTTACCTGACAGGTCCCATGCCTTCATAAAACTGGTATTCTGCTTTGTCAGTTGAAATTATAGTCCAACAAGCACCATCATTAATCATCTCTTTATTAGGCTCTTTAGGGCATGGTGTAGCCTGGAACTGGATAATCCTTTCTTGTGAAAGGCAGAGATACATTCTCTCAGTATCTTTCATGTAGAATGCACATTTATGTAGTTGAGACACAGGATCATCTGCTTCTAGTAATGCCATTTGCTTGTCCACCTAGCATAAAAATACACTTTTATTGAGCCTATATAAAATAAAAAAAAGATAAAAACATTGTTTTACATTTAGATATATTTAGTTTAGAGATATATTAGGGTATATTTTGATTGCAAGTTATCTATAATATTTATAATTTTATTTATGATGTACAAATTGTAGACAGTAGAACTTATTTACCTTTCTGATTATAAGACGAGGTAGTGCCATGCCTGTCACTGAACAGACCAGCTTCACAGTGGATCCATAGTGTACATAGCCATCTCTAACTGCAAACTCCTCGGACTCACTTTCATTATCATCCAGAAGGTGTATTGTAAATGCACCCCATTGTGTAGATGACGCATGGAAATTACCATTTTCAACATGGAGGTACCGCGTTGACACAGTCTGTGATCTCAACCTATTGAAAAGTGCAACTTTCGTTCCACTTGCAATACATAAATCTGCATTTTTTAAAGATTGCTTCTTTTTTGATGGTTTTGATATAACTTTTATCCTCTTACTATTAAAAATTCCTATATCATGACCATTGCCATAAAACATCTTGACTGAGAGCATAAAATGCTTTCTTTTGTCAGAATCTGATATGTACAAAGTTTTAGCTGCACAGTACTGCTTGCCATTATTTAAGTCTAGCTGTTGCATGTCCTGATCTGAGTTGCCTATGCCAATAAACGCACATAGCTGTGAAGCCTGTTCTGTTTCACCTTCGCGAAGCATACGCTCGCGGCGCAGCCGCCAGCCATCTCCGAAGAGATAAATACAAGGGGGTGGGCAAAAGAACCTTTTTTCATTGCCATAAGACTTTTGAGCGACTTTAGCATGCAAGATAACTACGACCATGTCGGATCGATCACGCAAGTAGCGCTCCATGGCTTCGCGCGTGAGACGGCGCTCTTCCGGGCGGTATGCGCCCGCGCCGGGGCCCGCGGCGCTGGCGTAGCGCGGGTACAGCGCGCCGTGCTGCGGCGGCGGCGACGGCGGACCCTGCGCCATGCCGCCCGCGCCCGCGCCGTACTGGTGCGGCATGCTGGCCACCTTCGCTCTCACCTCCTTCCGCACCGCATCATGGATCGGTTCAACAGCTCAGCCCACATCACGCCGTTCTCATACCACTACCTATATCGAACTACCAAGAAAACGGTGGCGAACATTGCTGATGTTATTACCAGTTAAAATTGACAATATCCTGCGTGACAAGTAGTGCCTTCTAACAAGGGTATACACTTTTTACGGGTTTCCAACACCGTCGTGTACCGTTTTCAATGAGAATTAAAATTTTAGATCGATACACTTTTGTATTATTCACAGCACCATAAATAAATAATTACGATGGGAACTACCACACACTTTATTCAAAAACACCTGTTCTATGGTAAATAATTCCAACAGTCTAGCCAACATTCCACTGTTTGCTGTATATTATTTACTTGTGTTACTTAAAGCATATCATCTAATAAACTCTAAACCGACAATATATTATTTAAATTGGCTGCTAAGACTTGTGTTTATTTCGTTAAAAATACGACAACGCTTTTCAATGAGAGCTGTCAAGAAGAACCATAGACACAGGACACAGCACGGAAAGATAAATGCAAGCAAGCGTGTTGTCGATTACACGCGCGCGAATAAAATCGAGCGATGCGAGGTTGACTCCGGCGCGACTGACAACCCGGCAGACGATCGGTCATAGGATGTGGGGTTACGCATGGGGCGTGAGAAAATAAAGTGTGGGAAAGAGTGGGCGTCGCGGCGTAGTAAAACATTTAATATTGTATGTAGTGAACGGAACACTTACGAATGCGCCAGTAGCAGACGGCATTTAGGTTTGTTTTTGTGTGCGTCATAAATACGTAGAGTTCACAGCTTCACACACTTCACAGAGCGAAAAGGTTGCGATGTGTGAGGAAGAGACCGACGATTGACCGGAGATCTCGTGGGAAACGACCTTTGTTATGTACACTGATATATACATTAGTTTAAACAAAAAATCGGTTCTGGAATTTAATCACACGCGATGGGAGTCACTGGACTGTGGAGGCTGATTGAGCCCGCAGGCAAACCAGTGCCGGTAGAGACATTAGAAAACAAAGTATTAGCAGTCGGTATGCTCAAGCTATTTTATTAATTATTTTAATAATAAATTTATAATTTTATACTTTATTACGAAATGTTTCTATTTCACAGATATATCAATATGGCTACATCAGATGGTTAAAGGTTACCAAGATGCTAAGGGAGCTCCCTTGCCTAATGCACATCTTATTGGACTTTTTCAACGGCTCTGTAAATTATTATATTTTAGAATAAAACCTATTTTTGTTTTTGATGGTGGATTCCCAGATTTAAAAAAAGAAACAATAGTAAGATACATTAAGTTTGTCATAAACATAGATAATACACTATATACCAGGGAGTCATAAATATAACAATTATTGTTATTAACATTAACATGAATAAGCTCGGTATAAGAATTGTATTTATTTACAATGGAAAGTATTACAGGTCAGAATTTTCATATCTTTAATTCGAACTGTTGAACCTCTTTTAAAATAGTAGCAACCTATGTTCAACACTGGATTGTTGATCATATTAATAGTTTGATGATGATAATGTAAGTTAGGCAAAAACATGATTGAATGTTATAAACAGGTGTTATATTTGAATGAATATTTCTATCTGTGTCAATTTTACTATCTTATAAATTAATACCAAATAATTTTTAGATATCATAAACATAAAGTTAGTTGGAAAGTAACAGGATAATCCATGTTAGTTTTGTACTGCAATTGTGGTGTTTGTAACCCCTGATTAAATCCTCACAGTCTGTAATTATAATGGCCAACTTTTATCTTTGAACCCATAACACATCAGTGTACGGCTACTGCTTGGTGGCAGTAAAAATTTAGAAGTTAGGGCCAACCAAAATTACCTCCTGAACAAAAAAGAAGTTGCACTACCTAGAAATACTTGGTTTTTAAATTTTTGAAACTCAGGCAAATATTTTTTTTTGTTACTTTAATGTCAATCAAATTTCATTTTTATTAAATGAGCGGATAACATTAAAAAGAAATACAAAATTACAAAGAGAAATCTATTTTATATAATGATATTATCCTTTATTATGCAGGCTAAAAGGCAAGATAATAAATCTAAATATAATTCAGAATCAGAGAGATTAAAAAGAGAACTTGCATTATTACTTGGTAAAAAATCTGCCATTGGTAATTTATTGGGAAAACAAATATCACCAAAAAAATCTAGTAATTTGGCTGAAGTAAACAATGAAGACATATTTAAATTACCTGCCTTACCACAACAAGATGAGGAGACAGAGTCGGAGTATGTAAACAGAAAATAAGTATTGAATAATTTAAAAAAATATGTGATAATCTGACATAGACTTTTTCCCTCTAGATCTGAGGATGAACAAAATTCAAGTGCTTCCACGGTTGATTTACATACAGTGGATGTTGAGTCAGATTATTTTAAGAATTTACCCGTGAAAGAAAAATATGATTTACTTGTGGAATTAAAAGACACTAGAAAGATGAACTCGTGGGGAAAGCTTCATACATTACCAAAGAAAAGTGATAATTTTTCCGATTTTCAGGTAAGTGTTAAAAATTTAAAGATTAATTACTTATCACAATCAGTGAATATATGTTCATATATTATTTACAGATGCAAAGGTTACTAAAACGACGAAAAATACAAGAATGTCTTGAAGAAACAGAAAAAGAAATGGGTGATGGTAGTATGTCTTTGAATGAACTTGAGTCTTTGTTAAATGAAGAAGGTATTGACACAAAAATTGAGAGTTTACCAACTCGCCGCATTGCATCCAATAACACCACAAGATTCTTACTTATTAATAATGTTAAACAAGCCTTAGCTGATGCTAAAAAGAGTAAAGAATTATTAAATAAAAAAGATGAAATCAATAAAGAAAGCAATTCTATGCAAAATGCTGAGGGAACTGTTAATGAGGAGGATGATGATCTGCAAAAAGCAATAAAAATGTCACTCGAATGTATAGATGAAGTTAATACAAGTGCAGGTACTTCTAAAACAGATGAATCTTGGACTTCATTTTTGTCTGATTCAGAATATTCAAATTCTTGTTCTGAAAATGATGATGGATATGAACAACCAGACATGTCATCAGCTAAAGCTTACATTATGCAATACAGTGATTTTACTTATAAAGCTATTGACAATATTATCTCATCAAAATATATTGACCACAAAAAAAAGTCAAAAGGCCCTAAAGTAGAAGATATTCTAGAGGAACTTGAAAATGAAAAAACAGTTATAATAGACAATGTGGATCTCTCTTCAGAAGAAGAAAGGTGTGATATAAACAAGCTAAAAAATCCGTATACACAAAATTTTAATACCAATAATAAAATTTCAACTGACACTAATATTAGTACGGCGCAAATATCAAAAATAAATATTGAAAATTCTTCAAATGATCTAATAGAACTCGATACAAGTACTGAAGATGAAGGTAAAGTTACGCACAAACAGTCTATATCCAGTAATGTTATTGTACAAAATGAAATGGATGATAATTCCACCGATAGTGAATTTGAGGAAGTACCAGATACGGTAACAGAAAATAAATTAAATAGAGCTGTTGTTCAGTTAACTCTTAATATGGGAGAAGCCCCAGATGATGATATATTTGCTGATGTTTTCGAAGAAAAAAATAAAAAGTACGTTTTGAATGCTGATAAGAATGAAAATAAAATAAAAACGCCAGATTGTTCAGATTTAGTTATTGAAACAGAGTGCAACGTAGTGAAAAATCCTACTGACGATAAATCAGATTTCAATTCAATCGAAATATCTCGTGATAATAAACAAAATGAAATTTCTGATAACTCTAAGCAATTTCATGTAGACAAATCATTTGAAGAAAATAAAAATCGAAATGAATCATTCAATACTTTATGTGACCCTGAAAATTCCAGTGCAAATTGTGAAGACATTTTAAATGTAAATAAAGCACCTGAGCAATTGTTATCTTCTAAAGATTTGAACTCAATGATGTCTGAAATGCAGAACAAAGAAGAAGATTTGTTACAAGAGAAAGGAAGATTGGATCGCATAGGTCGCAATATAACAGAGCAGATGACAAAGGAAGCTCAAGAGCTATTACAAATATTTGGTATTCCTTATGTTGTTGCCCCAATGGAAGCAGAGGCACAATGTGCATTCCTTGAGAGTGTAAATTTAACTGATGGGACTATAACAGATGATAGTGATATATGGTTGTTTGGTGGCAGAACAGTATACAAAAACTTTTTTAACCAAAAAAAGCATGTCATGCAATTTTTATCAGAGAGAATAGAGAAATCATTTAGTAAGTTTCAGCATTATGATATTAATAAACAAATTGAACATTTCATTTAAGTGTGCTTTTACAAACGTTAATATTATTTATTCTAGATTTAACAAGAGAGCAGTTGATCTTATTGGCCTTGTTAGTAGGGAGTGATTACACAACAGGAGTATCTGGTGTAGGTCCAGTGACTGCATTAGAAATTTTAGCATCCTTTCCATTAAACAAAAGGCAACTTCTTAATGAATCTTCTAAACAGGCACGGTACTTACAAATTATTGCTGGACTACAAGAATTTAAAAAGTGGATGCGAGCTGGTAAAAGAACTGATAATACAACACTTAAGAAAAAATTAAAAAATGTTCAACTAACAGATGATTTTCCCAGTATGAGGGTACGTAATTTTTATTTTATTAGGTAAATGGCATCTTAAACTATAATAATAGTATTAAATTCGCCTTCCGGCATTAGTTGTTGAAGGAAAAAGTTAAAAAGATGAAGTAGGAACTGTCTAGTAGAATAACCATTTAGCCTATGAATACCCAGCAATAATAACCGGTGTACTAGCATGCAAAAATCTAGATTCATGGCATTACCAATTCGTCTGTTATGAGAATGAGTTATGGCGAACCAATCTGGAAGAAATGCTCGGACCCCCGACGGAAATACCGTTAATGCTGTAGCTACACATAAAATGCAGGCGCTCGTATGGGGAGAAAGTAAGCAAATAATTTCATATATCTATCGCAGGCAAATTGTATAACTTATTGACCCTTATTCACGTCTGGCAATTTATTAGTTTCTTTATATTGTAAATTGGTTGATTTTGCGAATACAGTGACTGTGAATCTTAATGATCCGATATAATATAAAACGCTAAAAAATTTCGTATTGCTAATGTGGATACTTAGGCGTGACGAAACGGGCGATACGAGGGCGGCACTGAAAATTTCGGGAATCAAGGAAGTGACACAGCATTACTATTTAAAAATTTATTTATTGCTTTTCGAAGTATTCTCCGCGAAATTTGACACATTTTTCCATACGATGGAATACAATCATTGAAGCAACCATTTCATTCGGAAGTTGGGGTCTCCAAAATGGCCGTTTTGTAGGCGTCCAAAGCTTCTTCAGGTGATGAAAATCTCTGTCCACGCAATTTATTCTTTATTTTAGGGAAAGTATAGAAATCATTAGGGCTTAGGTCGGGGCTGTACGGCGGATGGTCTAATAATTCTATGTTTTCTGGCTCTAAAAACTCTTTTGTTCTGTGTGCGGTGTGAGAACTCGCATTGTCGTGATGGAGGATGATGCGGCGTTTGCAGTTCTCTTTACGGAGTTCAGAAACGACCTGTGGCAAACAAATGCTAGTATACCATCCTGCATTAACCGTTCTTTGTCCCTCAAGAGGAATAGTCGTAACATGGCCGGTTTTGGAGACAAACGTGGCCACCATTTTTTTTGCAACACTTCGTGAACGAACAATTTTTGTTGGCTTTAACTAATTTTCGAACACCCAAACTCGTGACTGGTTTTTTGTTTCGGGTTCTTACGCGTATATCCAGGATTCGTCACCTGATACGATGTTGTATACAGCATTTGAGGATCCTGCGTGGAATCTTTCGAGAGTTCTGACGCACCAAGTAACGCGAGCCGCTTTTTGCTCTTCACAGAGCGAATGCTGTATCCATCGGGATAACAACTTTTTTACACCTAATTGTTCGTGCAAGATTATTTGTATTTGACTTATGCCAATGTCTAAAGTTGCCTGAATTTCGCGGTATGTCACATGTCGATCTTCCTCAATCAGCTTACGCACAGCATCAACGTTTTCTTGGGTGACTGCAGTTTTTGGACGACCTTGACGGGGATCATCACTGAGCTTGACACGTCCACGTTGAAATTCAGCAAACCAGCGATAAATTGTGGTTTTGGATGGGGCTTCATCACCTAATGCAGAAATCATCCGGTCAACACACTGTTTTTGTTTTAAACCACTTCGAAAGTCATAATAAATCATCGCTCTTGAATTTTCTCGAGTCAGTTCCATTTTCTCAACGACTAAACAAGTTTGACAAAACCTTTGATTATATACACGTCTAGATGCCACATTGACCGTACAGAACGGCCCAAAAAAAGTCTACTAAAATTGGTAGACTCGCTTCTCGCTTACGTCAGTGTCATTTGAACCAGTTAAGGATAACGTGCTCACGAAAAATAATTAATTATGCCGGTTTGTGCTGTCAAATTGTGTCGTAATTATGTGGGAAAACCGTATAATAATACCAAGATCACTTTTCATCGGTAAGTTTTGTTATTTAACCGCTATTATTTTAAGAAAACACGACATTTTAATTCGTTATTTTGTAGGTTTGTTTCATTAGCCGGTGTTGTCAGCTTATTACTAGGGAGATTTGGCGAAACTATGGGACACAAAATACAAATTTTATTACATAATTTTTCGATCAAGAGAACATTATTATTTTAAAAGTTACATTATTTATTTGATCACTACATGATAACTTACCTACAAAAAATAAATGAAACCCGTGACGTTATGCACTAAATAGTATTTTTGTTAGTTCTTTCTAATATTTTGGGTTTCAGATTTCCTACTGATTCCGTACTAGCAAATCGCTGTAGAGACGTTATACAGCGGACTCGAAATGAAGAACAGTGGAAACCTCACAAGACTTCAGTCGTGTGTTCCGAACATTTCTCTGATGATGATTTATATTTTACAAAAAAGGGATTACGACGGCTAAAGAATGGATCGGTACCAAGCAAGGTACGATAGTTCTTAAATCATTTATTTTTAATTAGTAATGAAAATATCGTGCAGTATGGCTTTTAATACAACACATCAAGCGAGCAGAGTAATCTTTTATTAATCTCAAATTATTTTGTTACAGTGTCTGTTTCTGTCAGCGACGGAAACAGAATCCTCAACAAATATAAAACAAGTAAGCGGCTAGCCACAACCTGGCGAGCTACAACTAATTCAGAATTTTACAATCATAATCATTAGTTTTTGATAAGATTCATTTATTTTTAACAGGACGCGTCCGCTTCAAATATGGCGATTGATATTCAAAATCAAATTATTGAACCTACACCTTCGTGCTCGAAGGAACCGGTGAGTGCTGATGGTGAGCCAACGACCGTTTTACAAGATTTTTCAGACTTGGAATCGATATTTGATACTCCACGCAAAGTCAAGTTACGGCGTACATTACGTCGCAAGATAATACTGGGATGCAAACATAAGGCTCTCATTAATACATTAAGAAAAAAAATTTTTCGTCTGAAAAAGCAGAATATCTCTTTCAAATGTATTATCAAGACTTTGAAAAACCAAAGATTGATCAATGAAGATGTACATAATGTTCTAGAAGGAAATTTGTTTGCCGCTAATTTATACTCGCAAATGTCAAAAAAAAAAGGTCAAGGTAAACGGCCTGCTAAGTACTCCCCGGAATTTCGGAAATTTTGTTTGACACTGCACTTTTTGTCACCGCGTGCTTATAGCTTTGTTAGAAGAAAATTTGAGACATGCCTCCCACATCCCAAAACTTTGACTAAATGGTATTGCAATATCGATGGTTCCCCAGGACTCACTGAAGATGCCTTTCAAACACTGAAATCCAAAAGAGAAAAATCTGAAAATAACCTTATCTGCGCTCTAATTGCAGATGAAATGGCTATTCGACAGCAAAAATGTTGGAACAATAGAACTCACAAAGACGATGGGCTTGTTGATATCGGTTCTGGTCCCGATGAAAATATAAACAAAATGGCTTCTGAGGCATACGTTTTTATACTGGTCTCACTTAATGAGCCCTGGAAATTACCAGTTGCCTATTTCCTTATTCATGGGCTAACAGGCGTTCAAAAAAGTAATATTATTAAGATTATTCTTAGAAGATGCAATGATGTAGGAGTAGACGTTGTGTCACTTACTTTTGACGGACATCCTACAAACCTGTCCGCAATGGAAATACTGGGGTGTGAAATAAAATCTGATCCGAGGCATTTAAAAACTACATTCAAGCACCCTTACGCCGATTACGATGTCGCCGTTTTTTTGGATCCCTGCCACATGGTAAAATTAATAAGAAATCACTTTGAATCCAAAGAATGTTTCTTGAATGAAAATAAAAAAGAAATACGATGGGAATATGTAAAAAAATTGTGTGATTTACAAAGTAAAACTGGCTTACATTTAGCTAATAAACTCACAAAAAAACACATTTATTTTAGAAATTCAATAATGAATGTCAAACTTGCAACACAAGTGCTTAGCAGAAGCGTTGCGAAAGCCATAGAATTTTGTCGGGTGGAATTAAAAATCTCAGGTTTCGAGGATAGCAAAGATACCGAAGAGTTCATCATGTTAATAAATAATGTTTTTGATATTTTCAATAGTAGAAATCTAAGCCAACATGGATTTTGCCATCCATTATTAATTTTTAATAAACAGGAGGTATTCGATTTATTAGAGAAAGCAAAAGAATATATCTTAAAATTAAGTCTTAAAGTTTCTAGAAAAAGAAGTTATAAAGAAGGAGAACATTCAAAAACAATCATTATAAAAACCAATACAGCTGTTTTAAAATCACAAGTATTTACCGGTTTTCTAGGGATATTAATTGGTATCGAGAGTTTAAAAAAATTGTATGACTTCCTTATACCCACTAAAAAACTAAAATATTTGGCAACATACCGTTTAAGTCAAGATCACATTGAATTATTTTTTGGTGCTGTACGAATGCACGGAGGTTACAACGATAACCCGAATGCGAGACAATTTAAGGGAATTTTCAGAAAGCTTCTATGCCACATGGAGCTCAAAGCAGTTGATTCTGGTAATTGTGTGCCTTTAGAAAGCGTCAGTATCCTAACATGTACTTCTGCAGTCAAATGCATAAACGAAACTACAACTCAAATGCGAGCAGAAGATGACGATGAGTGTGATACTGTAAGCGCTGTTCCACATGATATTTTAACACAAACTGATATTTCCTTATTAATTAATCCAGAATATACAGATTATTTCGAGCAAGTAGTAGGGTACATAGCAGGGTTTGTTGTTCGACGTATTTGTGGACTGATTAAATGTAGTAGCTGTATTCAGGCCATTAAATCAAACGAAATATTAAAATTTCATAGATTAGTTAGTGTTCGAGATCAGGGCGGTCTTATGTATGCTTCAGAAGACGCATTCAACATTTGTAAGGCTTCTGAGTACATAATTAGAGACTTTATAAAACGGGGCTATATAGTAACATCATCCTCTAATTATGAACAGATATGTCTTAAAATAGCTGGTCAGTTTGTCGGTCATACCTATTTCAAAAATATCGATGATTGTTGTCAACATCACCAAACAAGCCTGTTAAGACTAATAATAGAAAAATATTTGCAAATAAGATGTCACCATATTTGTAAATTAGATAACGTAGACCAAGCAATAAAATCAAAGAGAAAACTATTTCGAAAACAAACACAAAGAGATGGCTTTTGATCTATAAATTACTACTATTCTTTTTCATTGTATTTTTTGTTGTTACTAAAATAAATAAAATACTAATCTACAAAATTTTGTTTAACTTTCATCTTATTAAACAAGGATATAATCAAAGCCTCGGCCGTTTCGTCTACGTTGCCGAGGGTTCCCATGTGGTTGGGTTTTATTTATTTATTTTTGTATTTTATTTTATTGATATTTATGTATATTTAAAATTTTCATTTATATGTTTACAAAACTATAACTAAAATACATAAATACCAAAAGTAATCATATAAATACCAAAAAATGATTAGTTATTTATTCGCTAAACATAGTACCTACATCAAAGATGACAAATAGTTGTACATAGTACAAATGCGAAAACTATGTAACATAATATATTAAATCGTTATTTTTATAAGTGAGCAAGTCAAAATGTATATACATTGACTAATACTGATAATTAAAATGAAATTAAATTAAAATTACAATTCATTATTTTTATTTTATAACTAGGCAAATCAAATTAAATATATATAGACAAAAAATTAAAAAGTCAAATGAGTATGTACTTAATCTAATGGGAAATATTCAAGAGCTGGTATCACTCAGCTCGCCTTCGAGTGACGCAGCGCGCTTGTTAAACAATAGTAGTAACGCATGCTTGTGTGCGTAGTATGCACACAAACGCTTCAAAACGGGCCGGTCGTTTTTGTTGCGATTGCAGCCCAACGCTCCATCTAGACGTGTATATAATCAAAGGACAAAACCTTGTGATAAGACCGAGAATATTTTTTTAAATAAATAAATGGTATTCGATTTTTAAAACCAAGGTGTTTTCAATTAAAAAGATTTTAATATGACAGGAACAGTGGAAATATTCCATTCCCGATACTTTTAGTGCAGCCTGTGTAGGCCGTTTTCACGTTTCCTGAGCGAGTATTTTTCTTACTACTATGTGAGTTATAGCCATACATCGAGAAAATTAATTGTAACATATATTATACAAGTTAATATAAATAAAGGGAAACATCGATTTTACTCTATTGCTAAATCAATATATTTTCTAATAAAAGTTGTTCTTGCTTCGGCAGCACATATACCAAAATTGAAACGATACAGAAACTAGCAGGGTCCTTGCACAACTATGACAGGCAAAATCGAGAAGCGTTCCATATTTGTCACCCCCGTGCCACGGAAAGCACGTAATATCGTTGGTCCTGCGCCTGAACTCTCTCCGACCGTGTCGGATTACTGTCCCATCGGACTATGAGAGTGAGGGACTAGAGTGCACCTGTGCTTGCACATACACTTGGATACCATAATCCTGTCCTGCACAGACGGCTCGTCTCCGCTGAGACTAGCCGCCGTGACCGAAATTCGGTCTGGAGTACATTATTTATTAGTAGTAATTCAAACAGACATTTTCAGTCCTGAAGACTAAAATGAAATACTTTATAGCCGAGAGAGTCTTGATAGAGAACCTTCCTTAGAACCGAAACTACTACTACTAACCCTAAGTAACTAACAAGCAGACTCCCCGACAGAAAAAGAGCCCTACCATCTTGTTATTTAGCAGAAAACGGCAAATCCTTATTAATGTGGGTGAAGCCTGTTATGTCAATAGATTTAAGGTTTCCAATATTTCAAATTAACCAAAAAATATATTATTACAGGTTATTCAAGCATATTTAGAACCTAATGTTGAAAAAAGTGATGAAAAATTTACGTGGGGTAAAATTGACTTAACAATAATACGAGATTATGCGAAAACTAAATTTGGCTGGTCACAGAATAAGCTGGATGAAATAATTAAACCAGTATTAAGCAGGTTAGCAGAGAGTAAATCTCAAAAATGCATACAGGATTATTTCAAGAAAAAAATAGAATTCCAGTCTTTAGAGGATCAAATGAGTAAAAGGGTAAAAGCTGCTGTGCAGAAAATGGATCCACAAAAATCCGGAGAAACACACGAAATCGAGGATGATAAACCAAAGACAATGAAGAAACGAAAGGCTAACATAGACAAATCACTTCAGGAATTGCCAGAGTCACAAAGCTTATGTGAACCTTCAACAAGTAAGAAGAAAAAAGGTGCAGATAAGAGTGAATTTGTTACTCAAGCTGTTAAAGTTAATGAAGCACCTGATAAAGGATTTGAAGTAATAATTCCAAAGACTGATAGATTCCAGGAGATTATTCCTCAAAGAGAGAAAGACAAACAGGATCTTTTGCAGAATAAATTAAAAGCAATAGAAATATTCCGGAAAGCAAAAATAGATAAGAAAACTAAGCGTACAAAAAAAAGAATTAACAAGCCAAAGGAAAAAGCTGAGCTATCGGAAAGCAGTGATGAAAATTGAATTGTGTTTAAGTGAAATTTATTTCTTAAAATAAAATGCAATAATAAAATAGTTTATTTATTGTTTACATTTAATTAAATGTTTTAATTCTAAGCACTTTTAAACAGTTATAGCTCGGATAATATAAGAAAATGAAATTGTCTATGCTCACACAAATAGCAACAAAATTAATTTAGTAAGAAACTAATGATTTGTTTATATAAATTAAATAAAAATATATAAGGACCAACTTATGCGACTGTTTTAACCTGAATAATACTATACATGTATCTTATCCTATTAGTTATACAAGTTTAAATTTTCTCCAAATTCGCATGTTCTGAACTGGGTCAAATATATTAGTAACTCTGTGTGCATTGCACAGCCTAGATTATTTACCACTTATATCTTTAACATAACATAATATCTATTTTGAATTGAATGATAGTATAAATTCGCTGGCATAGAAAGTCTGCTTTATTATGTATTATATTCCACTAGCTGTTTGCATTGAAATAAATTAAGTACCAACTACATATATTATACTAATCTGTTATTATTTTAAATACAAATATTTTTTATCTGTAATTTTGTGAACAAAATTATCATTTTTAAAAATGGCGATGGCGAAACTTTTAATACAAGTAAAAGTAAATATACAATTAAGGACTTCGTTTTATATCATCAAAAACCACGCTAAGTTAGCTATCCTGCGCTATCGATTCGCCATTCCTGTCGTAGAAGATTGCTGTACTTAAGAATTGCGTCTTGGCAGAAGGATATTTAAAAACTGCTACTTTTGCATCTGAAGATGTGATATGTAGGTACCATCGCAACAAAGAGGTAAACAATGTACCCAACTTTTAATTATATTTTAATATAAAAAAATGAACCAATGCCAGACTCAATTTATAATATACACCTTGACATAATAGTGCGTTAACCACTATGGTTATGGACAAAGAAACTTTTTGAATTTAATTTTTAAATATCTTATTTACAATGACTAAAAAATATAAAATAAATGTGACAAATAAACGGGACACGTAAAGGAAAGTCAAGTGAAGTTATCAAATTACTCATGACATATATTTTTACAACTAATGACATTGTGTGTAGTAGTCAAACGTTCGGCAACAAGCAAAACGCTCCATAAATGTCACAAAAAGTTAATAATCTTCTTTTCATAACTTCACCCAAAAAATCACCTCGGAAAGTCGTCACTAATGTGCAATCAAAACTCAAGTTCTTATCCTAACACCACATACAATTAGTCGACTTTAACAACGCTATATATCTTCCTTACGAACCAGAAGCACGCCATGAAGCCAATGGTGCCTGTAAGTAGGAAGAACAAAAACACCATGATGAAGGTATAGCCGAAGTAAAGGAAGGTGGAGGCGGCATCTTCGATGTTGAGTTTGGTGACAAAGTAGTGGCAGCAATATATGAAAAGGTAGCCTGCGGTCGAGCCAGAGCTTAGGAAGGCTCGCCACCACCAGTGGTAGTCTTCGGCGCACAGGTGGAAGTAACACAACAGTATCGTAGTCTCGGAGCACGTGATCACCAGTATCACGAATACGAGGAACAGGAATCCAAACATGTAATACATCTGCAATCATACAATACACAAAGATGTCTAAGTATTTTATGTAGCAAAAAGAGTTGATCACAATCGTTATTATATTTAAAAATAATGAATTATTTGTTAAGAAGTAATAGACTAATCTAACCTGTTTATATGCCAGACATATTGAAATCTAAGATAATCATATTACACTAAAAGTTGCAGCAATATATATGAATATGTAACTTTTACTTCAGTTTTATGGACTTTTGCTGTGCGATAAAATATGTTTTCTTTTTGTTTCTGGTATAAATATTTGGTTTTATTATAAACCCTGTTCTACAGGACAGCAACACGTGCTATTACAGGACATGGCTCCTTTAATAAAAATTTATTTACTATAGGTGTTACAGATAGTCTCCTGTGCAGGGCATGAATGGGGGAGGAAGAAACAGCGGCCCGCATGTTGCTGGCATGAACGAGGTCATTACATATAGGGAACGGAGGTTGTTACATATAGGGCCGTTTGTCTCGGCACGGACTATTGAACTTCTTCGGGGAGATTTCATGGCTCGAATAATAGCAATATTTCTGTCCACACGTAAAATACGCTCTTAGACGTGGAGTTGCGGAAAACAGCCCGCCGTGATCTAAACTAAGCCCTGATCTAAACATGGATAATGGACACCAGTGAAAGGGCAGATCACCAATAAAAATCTGGAAATCATGAAAATTTGAAATTTTTAGGGGTTGACAACATTTTTTAAATTGTACATGGTACTCTTTTTACTTTGTGGGTTTTAAATCATGTTGTGGAAAAATAGTCTAATAAGTAACAAATAATAGCACTCATTGCGATCGCTCACAAACTCAAGTTGTAAATAAATTTCTGGAAAACAAGTCTCCTGTTAAAAAAAAAACAATGCGTTTGTCTTATTGTTTAATTTTGCTTAAAATGGTTGAACTGCCGTCTTATGACTATCATATGGCCGAATAGACATACAAAGTACCATGTGCTCTTGTGATATGGTATAAGGTTTATTTTATTTGAAACTGTTCGAAACCGTTCATATATAAGAAAAGTTCGCTAATTTTTTTTTCCTTTTGAAAACACTTGTTTTGCTATTTTTACGTTTTCAGATCGACTTTACTTTTACATTTGTATAACGTTAAATAATATTTAATATTTGGAAATAGCAATGAATCATAAACCTTATTTTTTGCCAAATTAAAGTCCTTGATTGTTTGATATTTACAAATGTTATTCATCATCATCATCATCATTACAGCCCTTCACAAGTCCACTGCTGAACATAGGCCTCCCCCAAAGAATGCCACAAAGCACGGTCCTGAGCCACCTGCATCCATCGACTTCCTGCATGTCTTACCAGGTCGTCACTCCATCTCGTGGGGGGACGCCCTACACTTCGCCTACCGGTACGAGGCTGCCACTCGAGAATCTTTCTTCCCCATCGGTTGTCGGTTCTTCGAGCTATATGGCCGGCCCACTGCCACTTCAGCTTACTAATCCGTTGGGCTATGTCGGTTACTCTGGTTCTACTGTGGATATCTTCATTCCTAAGTTTATCACGCAGAGAAACTCCGAGCATAGCCCTCTCCATAGCTCGCTGAGCGACCTTGAGCTTCCTCATACGGCCAGCAGTGAAGGACCACGTCTCAGTTCCGTAAGTCATCACTGGCAACACGCACTGGTTGTACAATTTCGTTTTCAGGTTTTGAGGTATGTCTGACGAGAAGATGTGTCGTAGCTTCCCGAACGCTGCCCAGCCGAGTTGAATCCGTCGATTGACCTCTCGGTCGAAGTTGGACTTACCTAGTCCGACTATTTGTCCCAGGTAAACATACTCGTCAACAACTTCGAGCGTAGTGCTCCCAACAACTACCGGCATAGGTGTGACATGGACATTGAACATGATCTTTGTTTTGTCCATGTTCATCTTAAGACCTATCCGTTGGGAAACACTATCGAGGTCATTGAGCATAGTGCTTAGGTCCTCCAGCGATTCTGCCATAAGGACTATATAGTCCAAATGTTATTATTAGGTGAAAATTTAATTTAATAAAAACCAAGGTTTTCTAGGGTGATTTAGCTGTACCTACTTATATAAATGATATTTTTTTTTATAAAACAAAAAATAGTACAAAAGGTATGGTTGCCATGTTGACGGCGGCGAAAGAGAATCCATTACCATAATTGGTCCCTTCATTGTCGTAAGAGGTGCTAAAAGGTCATATGGCTTGCGATAAATGGAGGTATAACCATCTTGTTTATGCCAGGCTCTAAATACCAAGTCCCGCGACGGAAATAGTCAAAGGTGTAAAAGTGTCTGGTACTGCGCGTAGATCCGTCAGCCAGTGTGACGATGAAGGCAAATCCTTCCTACTGAGATTCATGTCCAGCAGTAGACTTACGTACTGACGATGAAGAAGAAAAAGGATAAACCAGCATACAGCCCATCTAATGAAAAATAGACGTGGCATATATGGACTTTATGCATCTTCAATTAATAATCAATATTTAGTTTTGATGTCACCTCTAAGGACTAATATGTAATACCTTGATAACAGTAAAAATCTCTGCGTAAAAAAGTCACTTACTCTCAATTTCAAAGAAAACACGTAGAAAGACACGTAGTTACCCACTAAAAACAAGTATCCTTCCGTTTGTAACTGATGTTTGATATAAACTAAATTTAATTAGGTCTAAACAAGTGAAAAGAGCATAAAAAAGAAAATTATTTTTACACATGGCTGATGGCACGATAGGCGTGTCATCAACTTCTGTGGTGATATGTCTGTCTGTCTTCTGTCTATAAAATATTTGTTCGCCGCCACAGCTAAAAGTTGTCGAAAATCGGTGCCGCAACTAATCGCTTAATATAAAAAATGGTATAATACATAATTTAAAGATCCTATCATATCGGTATTTACAACCTGAGTGTGGCCCACGCTACGCATCTTTTGTTTATTGCGATTTACGAGACAGGCATAGGTAGTGTGAGTGAACGAGAGAAGAGTATAAATGTTAATACATTGTACCTTCTCTCGCGCGACTAAGCACATAACAAAGGGCAAGTATTTATATTTAGTGCGTCTCTCGACTTGTTGGGTATCGCATGTGTGCATTCCTTTTGGAGTCCTCTGTGATTTTAAAATCAGTGTTAAAAACCACGACTCCTGGCTATTTCATTGGATTCTTATTTTTCTTTGTGATTTCGACTTTGATAATTTTACGACGACTTGGCTTGTATCTGGACTGATATTGTGTATCAAGGTGCCACGTATTCAATATACGGCACAAGAATACGCAAACACGCACTTCATTTATGGTGAATGCAGAAGCAACGCAAGTGTTACTGCAGTCCTTTATAGGGAAAGATACCGTGCGTCACCGTTTTTTTTAAACCTTCATATTTTTGGCACCAATTGGAATATATTTTTGTTTGTATTTTTATTTTAGCGCCTGATACCTGTACTATTAGACGCTCCAGGATTATCCATTCTTTCTGGGGCACGCTGTATATTTGAACTGAAGTTTAAAAATTTGTCTACTCTTTGAAAAATAACCCTATATATTTGGAAATAATACCTGAATTCAATTTAATTTCATAAATAATAATATCGCTTCTTATCCCTGGAAGTAACTGTTTTTGTTTCAACACACATTTAGTCTTGATTTAAAATGAAAAGTTTAGAAAAATTTCAGTACCTGACTAGACCAGAGTGAATTCAGAATGAAAAACAGTTGAATAAAGATGCAGCCAAATGGAAGAACTCCACCCATGATGATTCCAGGAATGGGTTGTGTGTACAGAGACTGTTCAGGGATCTGCCGTGGAATCTGGTTTGTGCGAACTGGATGATCTAAGATCTGTAATAGATGGTATATTTACATACATTAAAAAAAAATCAATATTTTAGCTGCTAAAATTTCATGTAGTCACTGGAATTTAAAAATTGGATTTTTCCAAGTGTGTAACATAATTCTGTGAAACAGCGTGTTTACATTCTTAATCTCGTCTTACTATAGAAGATTATAGAGTAGGTATGTAGTAGAGGAAAAAAATATCCACTACCCCATATCTCCAGTGGGTGTCGTAAGAGGCGATAGAGGGAAACTGATACAGGAGATGGGCAGCAGCATCTTCCTGGTAACAAGAAAAATTATATAAACTGCGGTTGGCCAACCTTCCTGACAAGGGTAACAATTATGGCAAAATCAACTCTATGAAGCAATCTATAGGGAAGGCCTATGTTCAGTAGTGGACTTTTATAGCCTTTAGTGGATGGATGGATGACTTTAGTAGAATACTTTCCAAAGAAGAAGTATTAGAAAGGTTGGTCATGAGCTAAATAGGCCAAACGAATTTGAAACCATTAGAAAGTGGCTATAGCCATACTAAAATTCCTTTTCATTAAAGATGGATTCAAAAAATCTAAAACAATTACCTGGCAATTCAGGTCGTACTTAAGATGGGTGCAAAGCCTAAAGAAGATGATACCTCAAACCATTTAGAACATATTAAGCTAAACTTGTTTTAGACGAAGTCTGCTCCTTTTTTTAAAATTGAATTTTTAAGGTTTTTAACAATAAAACTCATTTTTTTTTCAACTAATTGCGTATAGTGTCTAATAACAGTTGTTATGTTATTATTTTGCATGCCTTAAGCGCAAAGTGCGTGGGTATGTTCTACTAGCCCCTAAAAATCAAGATTCCAACATTTTTTCGCGACGGCTCCGTGGCGCAGTGGCTTGGCAATGAGTTGCTGCTCTGGGAGGCGCGGGTTCGAATCCCGCACGGAACAAGTATTTGTATGGCCTACAAATAATTGTTCCGGGTCTGGATGTTTGTCCTTGTGCAATTTGTGTTTGTAAACAGCCTCCACGATACAGGAGAAAATCCTACTGTGGGGGTAACGTTTCTATATTAAAAAAAAATTGTCGCATGAAATCGTATTTAACAATCAAATTGAACATATAAATTATATAAAAAGCACATTGCCAGAAAGGTAAATGATTGTTGAACTAGTTATTTTATTTAAAATTGATTAATTGTTATGTTTAAATAATAAAGTGGTTTTAGTTGCTTATAGTGTAGATTTATCAAGGCCGCATGGATGGGTAAACACGATAACTTTTAAAAATATCAATTGTTTAACTCAATCTATTTTTTAATCTCTTTATATATCATGTGGAAAGCCATGGAATGTAAATGACAGTTTAATTTTGTTTTGTTTAGTTATAATTTTTTTTCGGCTGAGAAATGGCGAAATTTTCGGTGTTTTGAGCAGCCTTGTAATAATTTATTTTACTAAATACACTTTGCCTCACAGCTCACTCGCATCTCGCACTTCGGACTCGGCCGCCGTCTTGAGTGGATTACTGTATCGTTTTCTTACAAAAGCGGTAATAGGCAGCAAAAATATCGATCACTGTAGAAATACAAAATATTCCAAAAACCAAATTTGATACATACTTGACCACGGTTATTATTTTTATAAACAGATTTTTATAACAATATTTTGTTTCGCTAAAAGTATAATATTTATATATAAATAGACTTATACTTTATGTCTTGAACTTTATGGAGTGATCTGAAGGTGTACTTCGGTGAATGCTACTGGAACTCCTTGACCAGTAGTACTAGTTTGGCCTCATTTTGTGAGTTATGATGAGACCTTACCTCTGGACCTGATAGAGTGACCTGAAGGTGTATTTCGGTAAATGCTAGTAGAACTAGGTGTGCCGAGTTTGGCCTCGTTTTGTTAGATATGATGAGACCTTACCTCCGGACTTGATGGAGTAACTTGAAGGTTTACTTCGGTGACTACTACAACTCTTTGGCGAATAGAATTACTATTTACAATTTTTTTGTTAATTTTTTCACGATTTTATGAATTGTGCAATTTTGGATTTTCCAAGCTTTTTTTTAACTTGAAATTTGACATAAAATTATGGGAAAATTTGAAGTATAGTAATAATTATAAGGTTTTTAGTGAAAACTTGTATGTAATTAAACTACTTTAAAAATGTATGTATAATCATGTTATAGGTAATTTTTTTAATGCGCTTAATGTATGCATGAAATGTTGTGTTTATACCAACATAAAAAATAAAATAGCCTTTGTTGTTTAAACCTTTACAAAAACATGCTTAGTTTAGTAGCCCTTTCTTTTGGTGTATTACTTACGCAGATGTCTCATCAACTCTTGGAATTAGGGTGTACAAAGCAAATTGCTTAATTAAAATTTTTAATTTTACGGCCGAAATACTAACACTGGCAACGAGAAGACCAATGATCTTTCAGCAAGATGGTTGTCCACAGTATTGGACTCTAAATGTGCTAGAACATTTAAATAATTGTTTCCCAGAGGACTGGATCGGCAGAGACGGGCCCATCGCTTGGCTACCTCAATCGCCTGATTTAACTCCTGTGGATTATTTCGGACACGGGCCAAGGAGCCCGTCTACACGCATGTGGGAATATCAAGCAGAGCGGAGTTAATAGTAAGAATCCGTAATTTCAAGTTATGAAGCAGGAGATGAATATGAAAATTACGACCACAAAAGTGAGACGCGACGAGCCCGCGCTTGTGTCAGAAGCCGCGGTCAACATTTTGAACACGAGAAATAAATTATTTTAACAAAATATGTTGTTTTATTGATCTGTTAATAATTAAAAATTTTCGTTCACAATTTGCTTTGTACAAAAAGGTTTGAACAACAAAGGCTATTTTTTTATGATGGCATAAACACAACATTTATTTAATTTCTTTTTGGTTTCTTAAACTTAAATATGCATAGAATGCTTTTCTGATGATAAAGATGCTTGGAAATTATTTTGTTTGAGTAATCACACATTACATAAATAAAAAATAATAACATAAAAACTGTTACTGGACACTATTAGCGATTAATTGAAAAAAAAAAAGGATTTTATGGTTAAAAACCTTAGAAATTTAATTTAAAAAAAAAGAGCAGACTTCGTCTAAGACAAGTTTAGCTTAATATGTTCTAAATGGTTTAAGGTATCATCCCCTTCAGGCTTTGAACCCATCTTCCAAACATCCTGTATAATAAGAAGTACTCACCCTCTTCCTAAACCCAAAGTAAGCTCCAATGAATGTAAGCGGCACGGAGACCCCAAACCACAGTGCTAAGAGGGCCACTAAAGTTGAGAAGGGCACTGCTGCAGATGAGCCTTTTCCCCACAATACAAGATTCATTATGAAGAATAAAGAGAACACCACTCTGGAAATAAAGAATAGCCACATTTAAATAACACTTTGGAATCAGCGAGGAGGACACAGACCAGATCCACTAATTGGACGTAGGTACGAAAGTCAACTCATATGCATATTTCCAGTGAACATTGTAAAACAAATAATAAAAACATGAAAGCATTTATACAACATATTTTTTTTCTAGGATAAGGGTGACAAACGAGCACACAGTCCACCTGATGATAAGTGGTTGCTATGGCCCATAGACATCTACATCTATCTTCTATTACAAATCAAAATGCAGATGCGTTTTCCAGTATAAAGGGTCTCTGGTTCTCCACACTCACCATACAAAACACAGCAGCTTTAAGCTGCTATTTTATGCTGGTATTCTGTGAGAGCGTGGTCCTTCCCCAGCCAACCCATTCGTGCTACAACTATATTACTAATATAGCTACAGCATAGCTCTACCACGATAAGACAAGTGACTTAATAAAAATGTGGTAAAAACCCTGTAGATCTATAGTGGTCTTCGGGCAAGTAGTTCCACTTTAAGATCAGTTTTTGATATTATCTCAAAAAAAAATTGTGTAATATTATTGAAAAATGTTAAGGATTAAAATTGAAGAGTAAACATTTTTATCATACTCTCATTACACATACACTCATAATTTCGTTGTAAAATGGTGTTGAAATAAAAAAAAATGTTAAAAATCGATTTTGCATAAAGACCTTAAGTTAGAAGATTTTTTTTTTAATATCTTATTAGTTTAATTAAATAAATTATTATTTAATTTTTTTAATTATTAGTTTTCCGGTCTCAATAAAAATCTTGCATGTTTTTCAGATCAAATATAATCTAGATCACTTCCTGCATTGCTCTTAATATATATGTGAAGTTTGATCACAATTGGTTCTGCCATTCAAATAATTATAAATGGTTATTTCAGTTTTACTAACATAAAAATCGAGCTTAATAGAAGTCAGTTATATTGACAGACACTTCCATTTTATTTATATGTATAGCAAAATTGGACATAGTTACGCAAAAAGGATCCAATGTAATTTGTGTCTAAAATATTCAGTTGAAAAATAATGTTTGTGGTCTATACTATTATGTGATGCAACAATTTTAGCGAAAGTAACACAAATAAGAAGAAAAATTACAAACACACACACAAACCATACAGATCCAGTCTTCAAATTTTATAACCTCAAATGAATTTTCTTCTTTAGGGTTGGATCCTTTTTGCATAACCACGTCCAATTATCATACATACATATATGCAAGGCTTACCCAGGGCACACCATTGATGTAAGCAGGATGTTGCTCTTCCATCGTCTGCCTCCAAAGCTCTTGTAGATCCTGGCGCTAACATAGCCAGCAGCAGCGCCTAGTAGTACCCAAGCAACCAAGGCGCACGTCATTAACGCGCCACGATTCGCAGGTGAGAGAAAGCCGAGGCAAGCGAATGCGAGCGTTACCAAAGTCATACCGAATACCTAAACAGTACAAGTCATAATTTTAGGTTAAGTCTTCATAATAAAAGGCTGCCTTGCTCCTCTAAAATACATGGGAACTATTGTTACATATATAAACTTAAATAAGGTTTTAATTATTAATTTTGTATTGATCTATGCAGCTGTGCTACATTATGCCGGTGACTCCTGTGTGCACAAACGTCCAAATCCACAAGCATGGGAAAGTATTTGCATGTGTCTGTACAGTTTTGACTACATTTTCCATGTGCTAATCTGTCTAGAGTCATAATAAAATCTAATCAATGTGAAGTATTTCTGTAAATAAAAGTAATTATGTATTAAAATTCTATATTAATATTGTTTACCTGAGATCCAGATCCAAGGAAAACAGCCAGAAGCATGCCACGGCGTGGTGGTCTAAACACATCTCCATGCACCAATTTCCAACCAAATTCCTCCTATCGAAACAAAAAAATGGATGTACAGTGTTCAACAAATGAATAGAAATTGTTGATTTAAATTATTAATATTACCTGAGCATCTTCTCCACACTCCATTTGATTGTACCTTGCAATATCTTTATGTAGGGTTCTCAATAATATCATGGCCACCATTCCACTTAGAAATAGTACAATTACAAGGGAATTCAAAATAGAGAACCATTGGATGTTAGTCTGGGGCATTGACTCCAATATGTAATCCCATCTGGATGACCATTTTATTGTGTTGTTTTTAATAAACTTCACACTATAAGAGTATGTTATACTGAATTTCTCATCCTTCAGTAGAGTGTTTGGTATTTCCAACAGGTTACGGTTACTGCAGTCTAAATGATCGGGATTTGGATGGTTGATACTTGCAGGTTTTACCTATGAAAATATCGAAATTATATAAACTTATTAATTGCAATGAAGCTATAAAATCAATGAAAACAAGACAATTAAGAAAACATTGCAACTTATATTAGTGAAATTCTTAGCTATATTAAAATGTGAAGGTCTCATTCAGAAATTTAATGAAAGAAATATTAACATTATTACAGCCTATGGTAAGTCATCCATATTTTAGATTGTAACTATTACACTGACAATAGTTCTATAGCAAGTGCCATACATGTTCTCGTATATTTTTTGCTGGGTGTTAGTGCTAGAGTGACAATATTCCTGCTGCCCGATTAGAATTAGATAAGAATTGATGCAATCACTTTACAAAATTAAAGTACACAATCTTTTAACTGTTAACCAGTTTGGGGGGAGTTTACCAAAATTATGAGCACCTGCACTGAGACCTCATAAACTGCATTCTGTAGTTTAACTCATTTAGCAGAATTTTTTTAGACTTTTTTTTAATATTTGTTAGTTGAAGGTCACACTTTATACATTTCGAATTTTTCACATGGTTTCAAGTCACATTTAAGTTATACAAGATTATTTTCAGTAATGCTTACCTTAGCAGAAATAATGCGTCCTTCGTTATCACCAAAACCAACACCCCATTCCTCTTCTTTACCACTGTGATAAGTTATTTCCAAATCGACATGATTGAAAAGGTAGTAGGCCCCAACTTTGTTTGGTATATTGTTGACAATTGGAGTGCATGTGTCCTGGATACAAAAAAGAAACATTTTATTTTATTTATTTATTAGAATCACAGCTGTATTAAGGATACTGCCTGAATAGTTTGGCTCAACAATGGAAGGACCACACTCTCACAGAAGTGAGATATAGTTTATGACAGGCTGTTTTCCGCAACTACATATCTAAGCGCGTATTTTGCGTGAAGTGAGATATATTTTAGTATCTCCAACATTTAAATAAAACTGCATTAGTTCATACTTGCAACAATTTTTAACATTATTATGGACTTTATTTTTAAAAACATTGTTGGGAGCTTTTTTGATGTTAAGAGGGATATTGTTCCAGATCCAATGACTAAGAGGGAAAAGGAATGTGATGAGCAAGCAGTATGGTGTAAAACAGAGAATGGAGAGCAATTATGAGAATGTCCCAGGTATTGAAATTTAGATTTCAAATACTCAGGAGCAGCACTTGGATTGTTTAGAATTGAGAAAAAGGTGCAGAATAAATGTATATTTTCAATGATATAAAATCCATAAGGTATTGTTAAGCTTAAAATATCTGATGCCCAAATATTCAAACGCAACTGAATTTTAAGATGTCCTTAAGTATTGTGCTGTCTCTATCACTTTAAGCCAAAGTGACTGTGACACCACAAATTTTAATGACATTCCAAATTAAGTAGCATTTGAATATTTGGCCATATTTGTTTTATCAAAAGCTACTAAATTTTTATAAAACCAACACAAGAGGTAATGAATAAATAATATGCAATTATTTTCAGATTAACTCTAAATAGTTAATGAACTTTAAATGTAAAGATTATGATATGGGCCACAAAAAACTTCAGAATCTTACATCGTTGATTAATTTTTATACATATATACTAACAAACAGATTAACCCACATTTAAATGTAAATGAAAATTAGTATGATCAAATAAAATCACATTAATATTAAATAATTTGCTGTGCAGTGGCGGGGTAAGTGGTGGGGTAAGAGAATCCATCACCTCATTTAATCCTGTGGGTGTTGTCTGAGGTGACTATGGGATATGCTAGAAAGACAGATTGTGACAGATAGTGGTGCATCTATCTTGTTTATGCCAGGCAGGTTTTTTACCGACACGGGTGACAAATAGCAGCATCAAAGTGCAATATGCAATAGGTAAGCTTAGTTTGAAAATTCAGGCAAATCCTACTTACATATTTATATTTTGTATAAAATATTATATAAAACAATATGTTGTAAATTGTTTTATTTAAAAAAAAAGTTCTGCTGGGTTTCTTGCTGGTTCTTCCCAGGACAGAGGTTAATTCCGAACCAGTGGTAAAAGTAAAAACTGACTTTTAATAAGTGTTCTTATAAACCATATTTAATAAAAATTATTCTATTCTATTCAAAGGCTCATGTTAAGCAGGAAACTTTTATAGGCTGATGAAAAAGAATAAGAATTTGCTGTGCATGTTTCTTATTGTAAATGAATTTTATGCTTTTATAAAATGTCTAAAGCATCTACAAATTACAATAAACAATGAATCAATGTAACACATTTATTTACATAACTTTAAAGTAGATATAATATTAAAAAACTATAATAAAAAAACTAAAACTTAAATTATTATATGTATAGTCTCTGAATGGCTATACTAAGCCTTTGAGCAAGAAAAGAACCAGCTGTCTTATAAACTTTAAAAATAAATAGCACTAGTTATGTTAAATAACTAGTGTCATTTATTTTAAAGTTGGAGTGGCACCCTAAGTAAGAAAATAATAATAAAGAAAAATCTTAAAAATGGTTCACTTTTGCATAAAACATTACTAGATTTTTAGATTTTTGATAGTGATTTGTTTATCTATACAAATAAATAAACTTGAAGTGTCTGTTTGTAATGTCGAAATAACAGCTTTTTACTATATGCATATAAAAGTATATATGGTACTTATAACAAAAACACGATTTTTAACATTTTTGTCTGTCTGTATTTTCTGTCTGTCTATTTGTTCCAGCTGATATCTGAAATGGCTGGACCGATTTTGACCGGACTTTCACTGGCAGATAGCTGATGTTATAAGAAGTAACTTAGGCTACTTTTATTTTAGAAAAAGAATTAGGGCTCTGCACAAAAAATGAAAACCCATGAATTCCAATTGTAATAAATAACGCACAGGCAAAGTTGCGGGGAACAGCTAGTTTATTATAATTAAGTAAAATTTGTTATAAATAGCAGATGTCAATTATTATACTATCAACATAATTAAAATTGTGTACTGTGGTGTGGGGGATGGTTTAGTATTTGTAAGATAACTTAGTATTAGATAATGTACGCTACAAACTTACCATTGGATCACAACTAGTAACCAGAATCCCTATTTAAAATAATAGTATTTACATTTGATAACATAAGACTATTGTCTATATAGATATTGCTTTTGGAACAAAGCAGTAGACTGACATGAAAATCTTCAGCGATTTTGTTATTCTTTTCAAAAGGACTTTTTGATAAGGTAAATCAGGTGGACCTTATATCAATTTAGTGCTCCATAATTGTAATACGGTTAATTTATCAATTTAAAATACACATTATTATGATGGAAAACTTACCATATCACTACGCACTTGACATCCCATTGGAAATCCAGTACTACAATACATTTTTCCATCTTCATTTACCAAATAGCACCATGTGACTGGCATGTTGTCCAAAATCCAATGATGTTGATAATATAAAGCCATTCCCATTTTTAAAAGGTTCAACTTTTTAATTGAATCAGGATCAGTACCCCGATAGTTTTTTGTGCAAACAGCTTGACACTCGACATTTTCAAGAAATTTCAATCTATAAGGACTCGGTCTTATTCTTTCACCAAACACAACCTGCCCAAGATTCTCCACAGGGGATTGGGTTTCATCAGATAAGCAGAAATCAAAATGATGATATTCAAATGGGATAACTGATTCCTCTGTATTCAGCCTATTTACAAATAGGGGAATTTCATTCTGAAAAATATTTTATGAAATAAAATGAAATAGTTATTTTACAAGTAAATGCTTATGAAATAATAATGGATATTTAAGATATCATGATCAAAAATTGTATTCATATTCTAAACTTCTAAATTAATTAACGTATAATCTTATCGCATATGGTAATATGGTTCATAATTGCATTACTCAAACAATCATATCGGTTACATTTTATCACGACTGCGATGGCTAAAGAACAGATATATTTTTAACTTACTTTACATGATTTCCCGCTATCTTCACCAGCCTTACAATAATTTACTGGAGCTAAGCCGGGTAAATAAAATGCTTGAATAGATGTCAAAAATAATAATGCGCAAAGTACATACGACAGTAAAGCCATGACGTGAATTACTTTATAAATTCCTCAGAATATACTAGTTTTCAAGTATCATAAAGCATACACATTAATAAATGAAGTCCACATACTCAATTATAACTTTTCCGCACAAAATTTAAAGTATGAATATCTAATAAAATAAGAATCATTTGATGGGACAAAATTGTGGATCGAAAACGTCACCAACAAAACATAGATTAAAAATCATGTTCACATTATTTATTATTGTTGTTATTAAGATTTTTGACTTGGATGCTGGGTCTTTAAGCCATATCTTCATTTTATTCGGGATCTTCGTTTTTATAAATTTTCAGTATCGTGATAATAATCCTTTATAGTACACAGCTTCACAATATGTTGATTTGTTTCACAATATGTTGCGTAGTTTTTGGGAGATTTTGACGGCAACTTGAGCCAGCAGACAGTTGGCAATAGTATATCAAGACGTCTAAGCAGACAGATACTTTATCTTGCGATTCACATGACCATTAGAGCACTTGTTTCACCGTTTCCATTCATAATTCACATACGCAGATGTTTAATACAAAAAATTGCATCACTTTTACATATCAAAATCTACTTCAAACTATTATTTATACAATAATACAGGAGCAGCAGTAATCCGCTGCGGGTCAAGCTCCCGCCAAAACCTCTTATGTTCACAATAATTCGTTAATACAATTCATAGAGTAGAAATAGAGCTCAGAGTAATATGATGTACTTATTCCTTTGATCTGTGCCGATATTTTGATTCTTCAAAGGTCAAATTAAAGATAGAAACTTGTTGAACTACAATAAAAGTTACGGATATTCTAGCTGTGTCTCGCCAACAACGCAAAGTCAGGAATTCGCATTTAGAACAACCCAAAAATTAGGGGCTTTTTAGGTGCTGCTAATGAGGTGCTAAGTTAAAAATTAGGTGCTCTAAAATTTTCACCGCAACGAACTGTTAAAATTTTCGTTGCTTGCAAAACGTATCGCTAGCAACGCACTGACGATAATACGAGTATACGATAAATATTAATAACAAGGAATTAAGTGCTATTGAGCTTTCCGTACATAACAGAATTCTGGACTTTAACGTATTTAGTTACGTGTATTATGCTTTGTAGATGATCATAGGTTCTAAATGACACAAATTGGTCCAGATATTATGAAATTATCCGTTTACTTTCCTGTATGGTGTTACAATATTGAAATTAAACTCTATCAGAGTGTAACATCAAAATTAGCTCAGTCGAATAACTACATAATTAAAATCATATGAGGAGAGCGTGGTAATGATCAAATTGATAAATATTATAATGAATGTAACTCCAACTTAAAATTAATAGATTTTCTAGGATAATTTAGGGAATGTTGCGATAGTATGTATAGTAACCATCAACACAAAATAATGCTTGGCAGATTGTATGAATATATTGTGTGTATAATTTCAGAGGCCGCTATCTGTAGCTATAATGTTAGGACAGGGCGAAAAGGTAAATACTTACATGGTTGGAACAAACACGTTCGCGAGGCGCCCGGGAGGGCTCGACTTTGTTTTCAAAGTTGGTCACTACATGGCAGACTCGGTTCTGGTCATGCATATAATGAAATGTGTGAATTGAAACGCATTTTTAAAGCAAAATTAGAATTACGTGGTAGAGCCATGCAGCAGCTATATTATTTGACACCCTATCCTATAAAAAAAATGGTGCCAAAATAATAAGACACAAATAAAAATGGACATAATAGCTGAACACCATAAAAGAAAGAACTTCGTCGAGCCTTCCCGTGAGTGTTTCAGGAGCTGGTGATCCTAGTGATATTGCTAATGTAATCAGAGAACACTTTAGAGTGGAATCACCACTGGGACCGGCAGAGCCACTGGTATCTGATGCTGAGGCAAGTAGTCCTAAGCGTAGTGTCTTTTTTACCGCCAAAGATGTAGCTAAAGTTATTAAGTGCATGGTGAGGGGCAAGTCGCCTGGGCATGACTACTTCAGCATCGAACACCAGCAGCATGCTGGAGTTCATTTACCAAGGGTTTTGTCTTTCTTATTTAATTTGTGTGTTGGGCATTCATATCTTCCTGACAAATTGATGCGAACTATTGTTATTCCTATCAAAAAAAAACAGGACCGGTGACGCCTCTGACGTGTCCAACTATAGGCCCACCTCCCTTGTTTCTGTGAGCGCTAAGGTACTGGACAGTTTGCTTAACGGGTTCCTGGATAAGCACATCTCGCTTAATGATGCTCAATTCGGTTTTAGACCAGGTCTTTCTACCGAGAGTGCTATCCTGTGTCTCAAGCAGACGGTCCAGTATTACACAGCGAGGAAGACACCTGTGTTTGTTTGTTACCTGGACCTATCAAAGGCGTTTGACCTAGTAGCTTACCAATGCCTGTGGGACAAGATGAAATCTGAGACTAGTCTGCCCGAAGAAGGTATATTGCTCTTTCAGCACTGGTATGGTAATCATTGTCAGATGGGCAGGCTCGCTCTCAGAAGAATACAGATTAGAATGCGGCGTGAGCCTAGGCGGTCTAAGCTCTCCTACGTTCTTTAACTTATATATGAATGGGCTCCTTGATGAGCTCAGCAGTACCGGTATCGGTTGCCACATAGACGGAGCTTGTGTTAATAACTGTAATTTATGCAGATGATATAGTGTTGCTGAGTCCATCAAGTGCAGCCTTAAAGAAAATGTTAACCATATGCGAGCCTTATTCTGTGACCCAGGGGCTCAAGTACAATGTTGACAAGAGCGAATTCATGATGTTTAAACCGGACCACAAGCGATACACTAATGTGCCACTTTTTAAGCTCTGTGGAAACCGCTTGAAAAAAGTTGAGACCTTTAAGAACCTGGACCACTGGATTACAGAAGACCTGAAAGACAACTAGGATATTGAGAGGGAGCGGAGGTCGCTGTCTGTCCGCTGCAATATGTTGGCTCGTAGATTTACTAAATGTACTGACGAAGCAAAGATTACGTTCTTCAAGGCGTACTGTCAGTCATTTTATACGTGCAGTCTGTGGGTTAACTTTAGGTAGGGGACATACAGTGATCTTCGCGTACAACACAATAACGTGTTCCGGTTACTGATGGGGCTGCCGCGTTTCTAAAGCGCCTTTGCTATGTTTGTGGAGGCTCACGTAGTTGGCTTCGCCGCCATAATGCGTAAACGTTGCGCTTCACACCTCAGGTGCATTCGCGACATACCCAACAGTATCTTGTGCGCGTTGGCAGACGTTGGGACTCGCCGATGCTTGCTCGATGGATACAGCTGCACACAATCAAGTAGTCATCTTGCTGGCAGCGGCGGATGCCATGTTTATTTGTATGTGTGTTTTGTCTTTGTTTTATGTTGAATTGTCAAATTACTAACCTTAGTTATAAGCTCAATTGTTACTAACCCTTATGGATCATGATATCCGAAATAAAATTTTATTATTATTATTATATTTTTCGTATAAAATTACTTATTTATTTATTTTTTATATAACTTATTGGCCTTTAAACAAAACAATCTTATTTAACTGGTTTCTACAAGTTTCCTTATTTAAATTATTTATTTTACATTCATATATACGGCAAATATGAAAATAAACAGCTATATTATATTTTATTATTATATATCTGCGCCCACTTAAAATATATTGGCCCAAATTGTGGCGTACCAAACATTAAAATAAGTAAAATTATTTTTCAATATAAGCAGTAGAGTTTTACTCAGTATAGGTCTTCCAATACCTTTAGTGATTTTATTATTTTCTCTTATAAACCTCTTACATTTAAGACAAAGGTGAATTACATCTTGTAAAGGATATGTAAAATAACCTTCGATCTTAGATGCGAAATCTCATGAAAATGCTTGCTGCTGATTTTTGAGTTCTTGTTTGGATTTGAAACACCCCACCCAATTAATCTTTACCATTTTTTTCTAATTATAGATTCCTGAGGGAACCTGTTAGATAAACGGCAAAATAAAAAAAGTCTTATTGTGTGGGCAAATGGGTTGACATTAGTTTTGATACCTATAGTTGAGCCAATCCCTAGCGTAGGTACATGTAAAATATTTTGTTTTAAAATGTATTCACGAAAATCATGCAAATTATCAACAACGTACCTTTTTTCTTTGCAAAAATTACAAAATTAAAAAAAATATTGATAATATTGTATATTTTCAACATAAATTTTAACCAAAAATACTCGCGTCATAACAGTGACAACGTCTTAAGAATTTACCGGTGAAATGTGCCATTATCAGGATTATTTGTATTATTGATACCACAGAACAAGTAAACATTTTGGAAACATTACTATTATTATTCTCAACTACAAACTTACTCTCGGTACGATTTATCGTTTGTATTAAGTAATATATTGTAACTTAACCTTATTTAAAAATAGTCCCACTGGGATTCTTGCTGGTTCTTCCCAGGACAGAGGTTTTATTCGAACCGATGGTAGTAGTACTATATTGAATAAAAGTGATTCTATTCTATTCTAAAAGCATTTTCATGTGACTCTATACACCATAATAACATCCTTCATTAGATGTGGGAATAAAGCTTTCCATTTAACATACATACATACATACATAAACTCACGCCTGTCACCCAGAGGGGTAGGCAGAGACTACGGACTTCCATTTGGCGCGATCCTGACACACATCTCTCGCCTCTTTTACATCCATATATCTACGCATACACGCTCGTCGGTTAAGGGTACTCCTAATCTGGCCCATTTTTAATATATCGCCGATTTGGTCGATAAACCTTCGTCTAGGGCGTCCCTTACCAACCCTGCCGTTCACTTCTGCAACATAAATTTGCTTTGTCACTCTTTCCTCGTTCATTCTTTCTACGTGACCAAACCACCGAAGCATTCCTTTCTTAATCATTGTCACAACGTCATCTTGCAAACCACACTTTTCTCTTATTACACTATTTCTCACCCTGTCATTCAGATTCAGCCCTAGCATACTCCTTAAGGAACGCATTTCTACAGA